ATCTTGATAGTGGTGTTTTTGGGGATAAAAACATAGCTGACAACGCGCGAACGGGGGACATATCTTCGTTTCGGGGAAAGTCTGCTAGATTTCCGAAAAAAGTGAATAATTCCTTAAAATTGTGAACCCTCTCAAATTTGTACAAACCATTGTTTGACCCTCTTCTATTCCTCCAGACAATTGCATACACACTTGAGACACACAAGTGAAAATGTCTACACACACACAGGAAAAAGAATGTCTGTCCGTCTGGTGGACTCAATTCGTATAACGCAGCTTTCTCTCTTGTGACTTAAATTAATCTGAATTACAATGGTGACAAATGCAGGCGCACTGTCAGAAACGGGTGTCGCGGAGAGGATGTACGTCCGGCTGCCCAACTCTTGCTCACTTTCTCTGCGTTTAAGTCGCTGGGGAAAGTCGAGATTGTCCACAATTCTCGCTGGTGGGTGTGCGTGTTCATTAATTTCTCCGTCAAAATGATGTATGCCCAGTAAAAAGGGGACTATTTACTAAAGAAAGGAAGTCTTTTTGAGGTGAATGTGCGGCACGGCACCTCCGACTTTCCTTCTTCTTAGTCAAATTAGACGATGCTTGGTGTTCATTTAATGTTCAAAAGGAAACTAATTATGATAATTAGGTTCACTCACTTAGCATGACTATAGATTTGTGGGTGGACACGCATCCGTGTAATGTGATAAATTGTGCACTTTCTCTTTTTTCTTCCTTGGCACCATGAATATTGTAAATATCCGGTTTTTATTCATTTCCTTCCACAACGCGACTAACTGGTTGACTGCGAGGCACGGGGGAGACTAAACTGTCCCCGTGTGTGTGGGGAGGACATGGCGGCCGGAAGGTTGGGGACAAATTGTTAAAGGCATGGCAAGAAATGTCGGAATTTTGTAGCATATCAAATTCGATATCGTTAAGCCGTGTTGGATTTATTGTAGTACACTAAGGAAAAATGAAAGCTGCACGAAATACGAGCGCCACCCAGCGGCTCGCTCTTTGTGATAGAATTAATTAAAGCGATTGTCCGCTAGGTAGCGCTATTTTCTCTCCTGCAAGAAATTATGCCTACGAAAAACGATTTTTTGCACATTTTTCACATTTCTTTCATTGAACTGCAAGAAATTGCGAGAAATTAACACCACCTAGCTGCTGACCATTTATGCTCGAATTAATTATAGCGATTTTCCACCAGATGGCGCTTATTTCTTCCCTTCTTCACCCCTACAAGAAATTACACCTTCAAAAAACCACCAATTTCTTGCAGTTGTTATCTTTTCACGAGAAACACTCCCTTATCCGGTCATTCTATTGTCCTCTTCCGCGGAGCCTGACTTACCCCGAGACATGACCACCTCACGCCACGATTTCCTCATAAATACATCTCCGCTGGAACAAAGTGTGAGAAGAAATGCGGGTTGGCACGGGAAATAGTGAAAGTACGTAAATCCAGGCTATTTGCCCCTCTCTGAATTCCATGCCAGGTCCTTTTATGAATATTTTAAGGTGTACATTTTTTGTGAAATTGGACTCGTGGGAGCCAAAGTGTAGTGCAGTGGTGGAAGAATTTGCAAAGCCATAAGGATAAGTGGTTGTGGTCGTGGTCGGTCTTCAGTGCTTCGTTTCTGGCGGGTTTGCCACATTTCTTGCAGGAGAAAGAAGGGGAGTGCAAGAAACTGGGAGAAGGTGCGAGAAATATGCGTCATCTTGAGTAGAGTGGCAGGAAGTATTTTTTTAAACGCCCTGCATTACTTGCAGATCAAAAAGTAAAAATTTACCAGCAAGAAGCTGACTTCTTCCCGTTATGTTTTGCACGTGGGTACTTTCACCCTAAACATTGGCGGGAAAACCCAATTTAACCCAAAAAATTTCAATTTTTGGCATAATTTTTACCAAAAAATCTACTTCGTTTCTTGTGGGTATGCTACATTTCTTGCAGTGTAAAGCAAAAATGCAAGAATTACAGGGTGCAAGAAACTGGGAGAAAGTGTGAGAAATAATGACCATCTATGAACCATTTACAGTTGCAGGACGTAGTTTTTCACACTTAACATTTCTTGCACGTCGACAAAAAACCACTTTCTCCCCTTTATTTCTCCCACCTGGCAACTCCCACCTGACCGCAACACTGTCCCAGTTTATATTTATTTTTGTGTCCTTCATCCTCCTCTACATCCGTCGATATCACATGATTGATGTAACACCGTGAACAAATTAGTTTCTCTCCAGCTCATGAAAAAAACTTTCCCTCTCTTTTTTTCCCCTTCCTTCCACACACCTGGAGAAAGTCAAAAGCTGGCGAGGAAGCAAATGCAATTAAACAGTTTGCGAGAAATGAGTTTTACTGAAACTTGTAAATTTAGGGGGACAAAGTTGTCGATAAATTCCCTTAAGCGGATCGGTGGGGGTGGTCACAGGAGGCGGAAGCTGGAGAATTTTTCTGCCTGTTTGCAGAAGCGAGAGGAGAAAGAGAGAAAGCTTATAAAGTTGCGAGAGTCCCTAGAGTTCTAGTTACGCTGTGTCGTCGTCCTCCATCCGACCACTTTCCCTCACACTGCATTCTTCTCTAGTGCTGCTACTGCTGCGGGAGAAAGCCAGCTCGGAATCAATGAAGGTATCATCATCATCTTTTTGCTGGATGAGACAGCGTGCCAAATTCTGGCAGAAATTGAGACATTCTTCCTGTTGTTGGGTATAAACTGTGGGGCTTGTTTTTGGTGGTGGGATGTGGATTAGATTTTTTGAGAATTTATTGTATTAGAAAGCGGATAATGGGCAGAATTGTTTTAAGTAGGGTGAAAGTAGCTAAATATTTCAATTTGTTTATAGCATTTAAATTAAATACTAAAGGTTTAAGTGACATTTAATCGTTGAATGTTATTGATAAAAGGAAACTATTACTTTCTCGTTTAAACGAATCTTTAACTATTTCGCAATGATATTTACGAATCTGTAATTTGCTAATAAAATTATATTATTTAAAAACTTGTAGTTAATTAATATTTCGAAATTTTTGCTTAATTAGCTTTCTTTATAACTTATTCCACTTTTTCAAAACAGGAATTTAAATTAATAATAAATTTTAGCATTTTACATCCAATATTTAAAAATTAATCAATTTTGAACTTTTTTAACTCGTGAGCACACATATTTACCTGTTTTTTTACTCCCTAACTCCACCACCACGTCTGCCCGCCAATGTGGGATCCGTACATGTCGGAAATGGGAGTAAATTATCAAGTACGGCATTCATAATGAAGTGGTTGTGATGGATTGGTGCTGTCATTGCGAGGCAGCTTTTTCCTGGGAGCCACCAGGCAGCCACCCTGACAAAATTATATTTGATGGGATCCACTCATTTATTTATTCCGAGCGTCGCCCTAAAACCAAGTGTTCGAACGGGCAGACAAAAAACCACCAGGCGGTTTCTCGCTCTGCGGGACGACAATTGAAGAGCAAAACGGTGTGTTGTACATGTCTGGTGGTGGAAGGGTTTCGTGGCTGGCGGGTGGGCTACATTTCTTGCAGGGGAAAGAAAGAAATGCAAGAAATGCAGGGTGCAAGAAAGTGCAAAAAATATGGCTCATCTAGCCACCCGCTGTGTGAAGTATTTACAACGGCGGGAAATAGTTTCTAGCGTCGTGCATTACTTGCAGGTCAAAATAGGTATAAAGAACCATTTCTTGTCGGTGTGTTCCATTTCTTGCACTGCAAAGCAAGCATTCGTGCAAGAAACTGGGAGAAAGTGTGAGAAATGTGTTCCATCTAGCCATGCGTCGTGTCAAGTAGAATTATTTCCGGCAGCGGGAAGTAGTTTCTTGCAGGTTTTTCTACATTTCTTGCACTGGAAAGCAAGCAACACAACAAATGCGAGGTGCAAGAAACTGGGAGAAAGTGCAGGAAATGTGCTCTATCTCCGTATGAACTATTACAAGGCGGGGCGTAGTTTGTTGAATATCTTGCAGGGTCAAAATATCTGCAAAAATACATTTCTTACGGGTTTGCTACATACATTCCAATGCAAGAAATGTGAGCTGCAAGAAACTGTAAGGTGGCTCCTCACACCCAAAAACACTGGTGGCCCGTAGGTTCCTCAACATGGAGAAAGTACGGGTTAAAAGGGAAAGCTGCACTTACACATTAGCCCGCATTGTTTGGAGAAAGCCTGGCTTATCGAATTTACTCCGAGGTGGGTAAATACGTATGTACACTCGGCAGGGAAAAGTGGTACGTACATCGCTGCTCCCCTTCACCTTCACCCAAGAGAGAGAATTTTACCTCCTCTCGATGTAATCCAACCGGACAAGAGGATTCATTAGGGAAAAGCGAAATGCCAAAATCTATCCGTTTTAATAAACACGTCAGAAGAAATTTCCTCTAAAGAAAATAATAATCTCGGTTTTTCAGAGAATTATTAGGGATCATATGATCAGTAATAACTTACGGTGGGAGCGCAAACCACCTTCAAGCCAGATTAGTTTTTTATCTTTCTCGTTTGAAAGACAAATTCTTTAGAAATACGTTTAGGATTAGTGCGAAATTTTCGCAGATGTGCAAAAATTACTGGATGAATCATATGATCAGTATACTGAAGGCACAAGCCATGTTCAACCCAGATTATTTTTTTACCTACTAGTTTGAAAGACAAATTCCTTATAAATATTTCATGCGGTACTTAAGCAGATGCCAAAATTCGGCAAGTTTTGGGCCCCACAAGTTCGTGAAAACCCTCATTTTTCCAGCGGAATCTGCCTTCTTGTGCAGTTGTGCGTTTTCGCAAACTTGTGGCGCCCAAAACTTGCTAAATTTTTCGCATATGTGCAAGTGCCGAATTAAACGTTGTTTCTAAGAGTTGGTTTAGGTGGTCTTAAAATTATCTGGGTTGAATATGGTTTGCTTTCCATCTATCTTAGCTCGGTTTTTTGATGGAGACGTATTGAAACTGGATTATTTACAACTTTCTCTTTTTTACTTTCCTTGCAGAATGAAGCCAGGAGCTCCGAGAGCCCCAAAAGCCACAGAATCAAATGCGCGCTCTTCCGATCGTGAATTGTTGTATCCCTTTGGCCATCAAAATGATTTAGGCCACGTCGTCCTCACCAGGCCGCAGGTAAGAAGAAGGAAAAGTGGGGATAATTTTTACTGTTTTTTTATTGGTTAGAAAAATTAGTTTCTGAAAAGTAAACTACTCTTGTCTCGAGAAGAGTGTGGAATTTTGGGGGCAAAATACAGTCACGCGGTCCTTCGTCACATGACAACGTCTTATTTTGTATCGAAACTTATTTAGCAAACTCACGAAAATTTGTGTCGTGTGAACATTTGCAAAATATGAGTTGACAAATCTCGCAAATTTACTTAAAACCCTACACATATTTTCACTTTATCTCCATGTACTTCTGCATTTCAAAAAAATCATTTTCAGCAAAATGTGGCGAATTTATTCGCAAAACATCTCCCCTTATGTGGTGAATTTTCGATTTTCAAAATTTTCAATTCAATTTTCAAGGGTATTTCAATCCTAAAATCCGTAAATTCCCTAAACCTTTCAGAATTATTTTATTTCGATGGAAAATTTGATTGCTTCTTTTAAAAAAAAACTTATCCTCACGTTAAATCTCTGTATTTTGTAAAATTATAGCACAAAACACACGTGTTACCAATGTCTTCGTGAATTACCTCGGTATTTCAGCGACACATGTACATACATAACTACTTGGAGAAAGTAGAATTGCCGTTTTTTTCTTGTGTTTTCTTGTGATGAATGAGAGAACGGATCAATATTATATATTACCTCGGCCGGTGGTGGTGGGTCTGGTGGGTCTAGTCACGTTGGAAAAATGAACACTTCAAGCCTGGGAAAGACTGACTTATTAGCTTTTACTCGGACTTACGACATAAAGTACACAGACCGACAGACACAGAAAGATACAGGCACGTCAGACAGTTTACTTTTCTTGTCATGTCCTCCTCCTCCTTCAGCGCGTAATTGTAACTCAAAACCTTTTCTCATTTCATCCTCGCCCCTAAAAAAACCTGACCCTTGGCTGCCTGGCAAAAAAACCAAGAAGTGCATCGCTCAACGCCAACTTTCTCCGTAGAAGTTATGATACGTATGTGATGCAACAAGCGGTCAGAGGCCGCGGAAGATTGGAAAATGTCCCCAAGGTTGTTCGATGTCCGTATATAAATCCGTCCCTCTTCCTCTTTCCTGCAATGTTAATGTCCCCACGGCTTCCGCGGTCAGTGAAAGCGGGTCTTTGTCTGTAAAGGAGGAGAAAGCTGGACCACTCGGGAAACAAGGCGACCCGCTGAGGTACTAATTTAGCCGGAATTATTGACCTCTTCGCAGCACTGAGATATTAATTTTGGGCAGAAAGGGCGATACAAGAGATGGGTAAAATACAGTGGTAAAATTTGAACGGTATTTTGAACTCGGTTGTTCACGCTGTATTGGATTTGTGGGGTACATAACAGACATAAAAAGACGGGAATTTACGTGGAGAAGGTAGCAGTTGTACGAAAATTCTCATTGGAATTTTAGAAAATAGCTGTCAAAATACGTCATTGAAAAGCTGGTTAAAGCATTGTAATTTGACTGGGATAAAAAGTTAATTTCTTCATACAGCACGTATTTTTTGTACATATTCTCCGAGTAGATTTTTGGAGGTGTAACTAGCCCGTGGAAATTCAAACCCTGCAAAGAACTGAGCTCAAAATACTCCACTTTTACCAGGTATTTAACCCACCCCTGAAAATTAGTACCTAAATTAAACGGTGAAGGGGCACTTTTCAAGGGTGGTGGGGTGGTCTTATAATCCTTGGAGCATTAATTTTTGCAGCATATTGGGAGTGGCTTGTTAAGGGATCCCCTTACTTTTCAAGGGACGATATCCCCGCAACTTTCTCCAGTCAAGTGGACAAATTGGAAACTTTGTCCATTTTCTGTTCATCCTTTGATCGTTGATGCTGATGAGACAGGAAAAAAAAATGTCCCCAAAAAACCCTTACCCTTTCCTCACCACCACCACCACCACCACTTTCACCACCACCTGAACCCGTCCCGCAACAATGGGACGAATCAATTCTTTTTCCCCAGAATTGTGTCTCTGAATAGTCCTCAAGAGTCGTCCTCCTCCTCGAGAGTATGTATGCACGAGGACAAAACAAATTTACATAGCGATTGTGTATGGACAAGGAAATCTGTGCTTTACGAGACGACTTTCTCCTGCAGCGTAACGACGACGACTTTCTCTCTCTCTTCTCTGTACAATAAATGAGATGATCAACCTTTCATTTCATGCTCAGCTGGACGGCAGCTCAGTGTTTCGTTTCGGGCGGGTTTGCAACATTTCTTGCGGTGGAAAGGAAGAAAGTGCAAGAAATGTGAGGTGTGCAAGAAAGTGGGAGAAATATGCGCTTATCTAGCCACGTGCCTTATAAAGTAATTTGAGCAGCGGAACTAGTTTATTTCGTGTTACATTTCTTGCAGGTGAAAATATTTATCTGCAAGAAAACACTTTCTCCCCGTTATTTCTTGCACTTTCACCCCAAACACTGTTAAAAACTAGTATTTCGTTTCCTTCTGGTTTGTAACATTTCTTGCAATGCAAATAAGCAAACGTAACAAATACGAGGTGCAAGAAAGTGCTAGAAAGTGCAAGAAATTCGCCCTATCTATCCACACGCCGTATGAATTATTGCCATAAGCGCGGCTTAGTTTCTCCCGCCTTGCATTTCTCCCAGATAAAAATATTCTCCTACCAAAAACCACTTTCTCCATCCCCTTATTTCTAGCACTTTCACCCGAAACACTGCCTCCACCAAGAATAGAAGAAGAAGAAGACGAAGAAGCAGAAGAACACACCAATCTGTTTCATATTTACTTTAAATTCACCCGAGTGGATTGGAGGGTAGTCGTGGTGGTGGTGGTGGTTGCTTCTTCTTCTTCTCCTTTGGCACACAGTAGTAGTCACTCATCATATTCACAAAGACACTGCCTGACTGAGGGGAGAAAGTCAATTGGTGATCATCTTGCAAAATGAATGAATACGACTGATTCAGTCTCAGTCGTCTCAATTCCCGAGAGGAAAACTTGAGCAAGAACAAGGGAGGCAGAGAGAAGAAGAGAAAGTGAGTCTCGAGTTCATCCTCATTTCTCAGAAATAATGGGGAACGTTTGTTTGAAAATGGAGCATGGATGGATGATGGAAGACGAGTTTAGCTTAAGTAAGTATTTCGAGGAGGAGTCTGCTTTCTTCTTCAGGGGAGGCGGAAAACGGAGGGGGGACAATGTTGCTTATAATCTGGTCTATCAATTTCACACGTTTCTGTCCTACTATAAATATCCTTGGTTAAGACGGCATTTTTTGAAATTTTATGCTCCCCAGTATTTCACAACTTGATAAGTTTCCACATTATTAAAAACCCCGGATATAATTGGGCAAATTTTTGTAACTGGTAAACGATTTCGTATGTGATTGGAAATGTGGGCAAAATCGAGGCAAAGTTAGGGAGAAAGTTGACAGTGAGGGTCGATACAGATACGAAAGTGCATCTTAATTATTCATATTTATCAAAATTTCACGAATTTTAAAGCTTTTTAACATGCATTTAATTTTAAAAAATCGTTCATTAAAATTACTTTACAGATTGATTGGAAATTTTCCCAAAAATCAAGGCAAAGTTCGGGAGAAAGTTGACCGTTAAACTAGTCAGGGTCGACACAGATACGAAATTGCATATTAATTTATCAAAATTTCACGATTTTCAACATTAATTTATCAAAAGCAACTAAAGTTATTAAAATTTCGAATAATTAATTGTCATTTTTCCCTCAACTTTCTCCCCTACGTGTTGAGCCAAATATTCCTCTATGTGCACATTTTGTATGAAAATGTGTGTGTGTGTGGCAAGTGGAAAATGGTGGATTTATCTGGAAAACGTCAAATAAAGGGTTATTCCAATATTTGCTCCACCACCACGCACGTGACAATTGGGCCTCTCAACAGATGAAGTAAAAGTAAAGTAAACGCTTACAGGGTTTGTTTGTTGTTAGAAAAGTACTCTCGCTCGCTCGCTCGACCCACCGACCAACGAGAAATGTTTGTCGTGGACAAATTATTCTTGCTCTTTTTTCTTCTCGACACGAAAATTGTCCTCGTGTTTCTTATGAAGGATTGTAAATGAAAAAAAAAATGTAATAATAATTCCGGGAAATTTTGCACCACTAAAATTGCCCAATGAACGTGAAGATATTTTAATGGCGGGTATTTTAACCATGGCATAAACACCGTCGAAATGTCCATCCGAGTAGAAAGTACTGTGTCGAATTCTGCAGTAATCAACAAAAGCTGAAATCATATTTTGCAATTTTTGGTGCCTAATTCTACCTAAAATTTGTGCCCGTTTTTATATTCTGCAAAACGGTAGGTGCATAATTCTGCACAAAAAATAATCTCTTCATACAATTTTTGTGTAGAAAATTTGGCCAAATTTCGACACGAAAGGTGTCAAATTTTACTTCGGCACTGTTAAATATTTAAGAATTTTCTATACAACTTGCTCTGCATAAGGTTTTTCTGTAAAAAAGTTGGCCAAATTTTTGCACAATATCGGGTAAAATTTTTGAACAAAATAAAATGTTTAAATTTTTACATGGATATTATAAAATTGGGGTGTGTTATAGAGCATAAATACAAATAGGGGACAAACCCACATAAATTCCTAAAGATACCCTGGACATGTGTACAAAATAGGACATTTTCATCCATCCATACATATCTCTCTGTCCAGGTAGTAATAGTACAGCATATATAAGACCAAGTTATCCAAACTGTGATCCTGATTAGCCCAAAAGAATGCATTGTAATCAAGACTCACTGAGGCAGCAGCATGTGGCCAGTAACAAACCGACCCAGAGAGAACCGGGTTATTTATCCCAACCCGTTTAATATGGAGCCTCGTGTAAACAAAACGATTGAGGGAAAGTACAAGTTAATAATAATCATAATGATAACACTGGAAATCTGGCTTTCTCCCCGCCTCAAAAAGATCCTGGCTCTTTGAAGTCTGCCATGTGAAATCGTATGTACGATAATCATTATAAATACGCAGTTGGAGAAAGTCTGAACTGGATTTTCGGCTTGGTTGGGCTTTCTCTCTCTCAGTGATGGACCGGGTAACACATAAATCCTTCCTGGGGAGTGAATGAGTCGATAAGTCTGACACGGGCACATATATATTGCCTGCTTTTTTGCACTTTTGACTTTCACCGGGGTGAAAGTAGAGCTTAATTTGAAGTGGGAAACGTTTCGGGAGGAGAGAAGAGGTTCTTGGAAATGTAGGAATTTACGTTACGCGAAGTTCTTCTTAGCGGGTAACCGCAGATTAATTTTGTTTTCTTCAAGGACGAAAATAAGTATTTTGACTATTTTTTTAATGCGGGAATTTCACCCGTGGCGGAATTTTTTAAAGAACTTTTGCTAAAATCCTGCAAGATTAGCGAAATGCTGTACCATTTTTTAAGTTTGGTGCTATTTCAAAAATATGAAACATGAAGTAGAGTCACAAATATTGAATTTTGAAACATATATTTTTTTATTTAATTTCGCTTATTCTTCAACTACAAACCAATTAAAATTTTGAAAATGATTTTTTGTAAACTTTTAAAAAATTGTTGAAAATCCAAATTTCTGTAGATTCTTCCAAACTTTCTAAAAAATTGTAAATTTTATAAATTATATTTAAGGCAATTTCGACACTTCTGGCATGCATGCCAAATTTTCCAATGTTTAAATAAATATTATACCCGATTTGCCAATGTTGCGAAAAATGGCATGCCAAAATAATACTTTGCACAACTCTGGCCCACACAATTTTCGCTGAAGGCCCGACGAATCCCTGCAGACATTTGAACTGTTAATTAGCCTTCCTTTTCTCCCCGTCCAATTTGTGCGCTGAGCCGCCCGTGTCGAAATGAGAATGAAAGGTTGTTGTTGCTGTTTAACGACGAGACTGATTTGAGTGTAAAAAATAAATCTCGCAACCACTTTCACGTGGGGTTGATGGGGTAAATTATTGTGTGGACTGTGTCTGCCAGAGGTGGTGCAGTTACAGGTCGGTTTTATAGACCACTAAATGTGCTATCATTCATTTTCATGGGCATCATCATTGGAATTGGTGGTGTGTGGATTACTTGGTTCCCATGTGTGTGTGTATGTGCAGATTATTATGACGCGTACTTTCTCCATGGGAAGGATGAAGTTGTAGTGGGAATAGTGGGATACGAGGGGTGGTCGGTAAGATTGTGGGTAGATGGAGGAAAAATTTGATTTTGGAGTAAATCAGAGTTGAGTCGGTTAGACTGGATTTCTGATCCATCCGAACCGAATTTTGAATTTTTTGGATAACAGAATACCATACCGAATTGAATTTTTTGGTTAAAAAAATACCCATTTGATTCTGATCTGAATTTTTTAGCTGAAAAATATCCCAATTAGTCCGAATAATTCTGCAAGGATGAATACCTTATCCGCAAATTTGGATAACCGACTCAACTCTATGGAATTCAATTATAGGGCGATACCCCTCGTGTTTGTGGGGTGGAGTTTTTTAGGTTTTTGTAGGTCGTAATCCAGTGCTTAATAAGGTTTTTGCGAGTTTTTGATTTTTTTTTCATGAAAATAACGAGGGTTTTCCGACCCCTAAATTCAGTATGAATTAGAATTAAGGCAAATTTTTAAAGTTGAATTGTGTAAAACTATTTTACAAAACTATCAAATTTTACGAGTTACCAATTACTGCATGAATCGTCTCACTACATTTAGCATGTCTTCCTCCTCCCCCACAAGTTACGAACGCCCCCTCGTACCCCCACTTATATCTAGCCTCCCATGATATACGTCCCATAAAAGTGAGCACACTTCTTACAATGCAGCAATATCGTTTGTTTGCAAGTGAGCCACTTTGCTCGGGATGATTGGGGGATGAATGAAGTGAAACTAACGGATGGCTCTCTTCCGCCCAGCTGCGTTCGTTCGTTCGTTGGCTGCCTGTCACCGTAATATTTTGATCTTTTTTCTTTCCTTCAGACTTCCCGGGAGGATGGTCGAGGCGATGGATGTCCCGGACCCCCATTTCCACCAACGCCACCGCCGCCAATTACGGAGACGTCTTCTTCATCCACGACACCTGCGTCACCATCCTTCACCAGTGTGGCGACGGCACAACCGATCCCCACTTCCGGTGGGGGACTACTGCCAACGACGACGACGACGTCCTCCACGTCCCCCCACAATAAGGCCGTAACGCCCCCTCCACCCCTCCCCCTGTCGCCATGTCTTCCATCCACGGCCCCGCCGGAGCCGGAACTGTTGTCGCCCCGGGTCCTCACCGCGTCCGTGAGTCACCTCTCCCTCCAGTCGAGTCGGCATAACAGGTAACATTGGGAGAAAGTGGGGAGAAAGCGAGAAAAAGCTATTTTTAAGTACATTGTTAGTTATTAGTTATCTACTTGTCCCACGTGGCAATTAATCAGTGTGGCGTCGTAGTCGTGGTCAGTGTGCGCACACCTCTCCCGCCAAAGTTTTGTTGTTCGTCTGCTTTAATGTGTGCATACATAAATACTTTAGGGGAGGTTGAGGAACGGACTTTCAATTTGTGAATTTTAGTGTGGCGACGGTTTTTTGACACGTTTAGATATACATCTTTACACCGGGGAGAAACGAGGGTTTGTCCAGTTTCATAATTTTTAGGAATTATTGTCCCAATTTTTCAGAAACCACGTCTGCGACAAAAGGTACTTAATCTGGCATACTTTCACTGAAACGAGGGTTTGACCACTTGGCGCCAAGCTTGTAGCGGGAACCTAGCTATTAATCTTTGAAACGAAACGACGGTTTGTCTACCTTCATAATTTTAAGGAATTATTCCCCTTTTTTGGAAACCATCCCTCATAAGACTTCCGGATTTGACCAGCTTTCACCAAGTGGTTTGTAACGGGTACCCAGTTACATATTTATCCGTTGTATAACACAAACCATGGCCGGACGAGACACGAGTTCCTTCCCCGTCGTGGAGAAAGCCTCACTTTCACCAAGTAAATAAGGCCCACTTTCACCATGTCGGCATTCATGTTCATCACCTGGCCGTCAATGATACCATAAAAGGGGGGCCGATACCCAAGGAGAAAGCAGACACGAAATCTTTCCCCGTGTAAAGTAAAAGTTTTAAAAGGCTTTAATTAATATGTAATTGAAAGCTGTCACTTTTTAAGAAACACAAGTCAAGCGAGAATGTAGGCGGGAATGAGGATTAGTTCATATACATATTTAGTCCATGTAAAGTAGTAGTTTTGTCTCTAGGATAATGCTCACTATTCGCTTTTTCTCTCGAGTAAAAAGATGAGTTTCTTCTTCTCCTTCTCTGGAAAACTTTCTCCCGACAACTTTTCACATTCTGAATGGATTTTTGATTTCTCAATTAGCAAGAATTGCTGAGTGAGCATGAAGCAGATTTTCCTCCTGCTTTCTCTTCTTCTTCTCCCACTCTTCACACAATCAGACTGAAACAGAGACACCCTGCAGGACGGAGTTCGACTTGAGAGAGATAAAGCTCGATATGCTCTCTTTTCACGATTTATTTTATTTAAAAGAGAGAGAGAGAGAGAAAGCATGGCCGAATAAATCTGGAGGAAAGATTTAGCGCTCTCTCTCTACTTATTGCGTATATAAGTACCACTTTCACTACGGCAGGGGCGGCGGAAGGGAGGACGGGGACGGGAAGATAGAAATTGGAGGGAAAGGGAGTCGCTTAACGAAAAGAACTGTTCCTGTGGCTGTAAAAAGGTCATAATTATAGCTTTTAGAGTAATTTTTGTCTTATATTCCCCAAGAATATTCTCATTTTAAAAAATCTCAAGTTCCCCAGCAAGCAAAGTATTGAGAAATCGCAAGGGGGCACTTTACTTGAAAAATTTCGGTTCATATGGCTCTTGAAATACCAAAAACTCCAGCCTTTTTAACAAAATTATACAATTATTGTTCTCACATTTCCCTCCAAAATTTCACATTGCCCACAAATCTCACATCCCCCCACATAGCTTAGAAATATGACTATTTAAAAACTAGCAATTTTTCCAAAGCCCCTAGAAATTCTACAAATTTCCTATCACGAAATCATACCCTCGCCCCCTTCCTTCCGCAGCCCCTGACTTTCACCACCCTGCGAGGCAAGCAGCAACATTTTCACATTCACTATTTGCCTTTGATTCGGGAAATGTCTCATTTTATTTTGTTTGTTGGGAACAAACTTGTCCGAGTAAGTAGGACTGTGATGTAAACTTTGTGTGAAAAGGGTAATTCTTCAAATAATAAATAAGTAGCTGGCTGGCGGGCTGGCTGGCTGGCCAACTTTTGCATAAAGGTCGACACACCGTGTGCGACACATACATCGTCATAATCCTGTCTCCCTTCCTTCTAATTATTGTTGAGAGTGGGAGAAAGTTGGATTAATTTAGGTGCCCGGGCGGGAGAAAGTTGTAAGTGATTGTCTTTTCCCAACGTATCTACATTGTCATCGCATATCTTCCGCGTAAGTGAAAGTTGTCTCGAAATTTGGTTCACCTTTTGAGGGGGGGATTGAATTAGATGAATTGAATTAGATGGGCCGCCTGGGACGGGATCTGTGAGAGGATAAGAATGGTAGGATAGGGAACCTAATTGATATCCCGGTAATGTTAAGGAGCTCCTCCCACTTCAATTTTAATCCGGCAAACGACGGTTTACTGTCCACTTTTCGTCAAATTTTTCATAATTTTAAGGAATTATTAATCATAAACGTATGCCCACAATCTGTCATACTTTCACCTATCCCTACAATGTTAAGTGGCCCCTCCCACTCATAATGTTAACCCGGTTCGTCAAAATTTTGCCATGATAATTTCCCATTTTTTTGGAAACCTCTCCAAAAACGTACATTACATAATTTGTCATATATTCCCCGGAAGAGGAATTTGTCCCTACCGTTCGCCCCCCTTGTAGCGAAACCACACCCAGTTAAATATTTATCTGCATAACGGTCGCCCCTCTAAAATCAACATAAGTTCCCCCCGCCGTGGACAAACCCTCGCTTTCACCGCGTAAATAAACCACACTTTCACCACTACGACAGCTTTCTCTCGACCTTGTGACGTCTCTATGGTCGGGAAATGTTCGCAGTACGAGAAACAAACAATGTTCGAATTCTCCTGGAAAATAATTACGTCGCGGTTTACGCAAAAGTTAGATGCAATATTTATAATACGATTCCCCACGAAACAAGAGAAAGCCTTCCATACTATTCTTCGAGGCTTTTCTCCATGTCATCCGCTTCAAGTAACATGTAATCGTGTCTTATTTACTCATTTTTTTGCCTGTCCGTCGTCGACCCAAGTTGTTAATTCTTCTCCGTCGTTGTCATCATCGTCGGCGGTGGCGGTGTCTCAATTTGCTGTCTGCTGATTGCCAAACTTTATTTTTTTGCCGCCGCGGTGTGTGTAGTGACTGCGTGGAAATTAGAGGAATCTACTTCCTCCTGAAATGTTGGGCTTGATGTTGTCTCGTGTCGCGGTGATAACCATGCATCCATGCCCCGCGGAATTGGAGTCGTTCCTCACCAAAAGAACTAATTTGATGTATATGGTTTGTTCAAAAGTAATAGACGATCGGGTTAATGTCAACAGTTGTGGAAATTGGGATTCGGTGAAAGTTCCCAAATTTTTAAAATCTAGGAGAAATTAGTATGTCGAATTCTGCAGTAATCGACAATATCTGGACGTATGTTGAACATATTCTGCATATTTTTTTAAAAATAATCCTGCCGAAAATTCTATCCGTCTTATTTTGCAGAACGTTATGTGCATAATTTTTGTTTTTTTGCATAAAAATTAGCATTGCGTAAAGTTTTTTGGGAGAAAGTTGAGCTAAATTTTTATTGGAAAGCCGTTCAAATTTTTATTCTGGTGACCACCTCAGATTCGAAAAATGTTTGAATCCAGAATTTAACACGGCACCAGATTAGAATTTTACATTACGTGATATTCCAAAAAATGGAAAAATTTTCCCTACTAATTCTAAACAAACCAGAACGTCCCTGCCCCACAAATGCTTGAATCTCGCAATTCTCCAGAATTTAACACGGCAATAGAGTAGCATTTTACATTGCGTGGTATTACGAAAAATATTTTCCTACTAACTCTGAACAAACCATAACCCCCCTGCCCCCACCACGTTCCGCGGGGTATTGGACTCTTCTGCTGCTGCTGCTTTGTTGAAGGAGAGGAGGAGACACGAAGGAGTTGTTTTTGAAGCGTTTTGTACCCTGTTTTCTGTATATTCATATTATATGTTGTTTTATTCTTTGTATCTATAGATTCCATTCAGGCAATTATTCCTTTCATCGGTAAGCAAACAAAACTATAACTACTTGTTCCTTCCACCACCACCACCACCACGACCAGTGGCCGCGGAAGGTGTTGGGGGACATTGGGGGCCATTGTCATTGTAGGATAGGGGGAAGAGATGGGTTTATACATATAAGATGGGCAGATGATGCCTACAACAAATATACAAACGTGGGGACATTGTCCCTCTGTCCTTCCGCGGCCACTGACCACCACCACCACCAACTCGCCTCCTCCACCTCCTCCTTCTCCGTCCTCCTCGCTCTTTGTTTGTTTGTGTTTCAAATTTCCACCAAACCAACCTTCCGTCAACGACACACCAAACACCATTTTTACATAGCAAGGCTGGGCAAAATATTGGGTCAAATTCGACCTCGTGGTTTAGATTTTTGGGGCTATTACTAATAAAAAGACGAGAATTTATGTAAATCAGTCACACGAAAATATGTACACGTTTTGTGAAGAAATTTACATTTTACCGGTGTCTAACTATGTCTAACAAAATTTTACCAACTAGCCAAAACTTACGAACTTTTACAAAATCTTGCTCACATTTCGAAGGAAAATGAGCTCACAAATTTTTGTAATCCTACTCCGACCACTCTATATTTTGTTAAAGTTGGTAAAATTATGGTAGAAAATGAACGTATTTTACCAATAATTGCCTCGGTATACATTTTGACAAAGTATTTTGCCCAACCCTGTACTTTAAATGGGCACCAGAAAATAACCAAAAATCAAGGGTAAAGTTCAACCTATACCCCCAATGTCCCCCTCTCCAGACAATAACAAACTCGTGGGGAAAGCGAGATCTATCCCCCAATGTCCCCCCATTCTTCCACCGCCCCTGCCACCTTTGTCCATTCCACCCAAATTTCCATTCTTTCACTCTTCTCAACACGATTTCATTTCATTTCACTCTCCCAATTTGATTTCTCTCTGGTCCGGACAAAGTGAAAGTACGAGTACGCGTGTAAGTAGTACTTGTTTTTGCCTTGGTCCGGTCCGAGTTTCACTTTGAAGCTGCACTTTTCAAAGTTGAATTGAATTGATGGTCGCTCTATGACGAGGACGATGGTTATGATCGGATCCAGCCAAGGATTGGTTTGGTTTGAAGTGGAGAAAGGGGGAAAAAATTACAAGTATGGATGTCCATGACCAAAGCACTTTTTTCACAATTTGGCTCCTGCTCCGAGCTCCTGCTTGTTATTTTATTACGAGTTTTTTTTTCCTACGTACGTAGATACATGCAGTGGCCGCGGAAGGAAGTGTGGGGACAGAGGGGTAATAGAGGGGCAATGTCCACATGGTTATAAGATGTCCGCATCATCTCCCAATATTCTTTAAACCTGTCCCTTCCCCCTATCTTACAATGCTAATGTCCCCACGGCTTCCGCAGACATTGGTTATTCGTTTGTCTATGTGTTCAGTGGCCGCGGAAAGTAGCTTGAGGGGACAGAGGTTCAATGTCCTCACGGTAATGAAATGTCCGCATTCATCTCCCCATCTTATACAAACCCATCCCTTCCCTCCCCTATCTCAAAATATTAATGTCCCCCCGTGTCACCCCACACCTTCCGCGGCCACTGGACTGGATACATGCACTTGAAAAGAAGAAAAGAGGAAAAGTTGTGCAGTTAAAAAAACGCACGATTTTTTTGCCCATTATCAGAGAACCGTGGTGGTGGTGGTGGTCTCGTCATGGTCATTTCTGCACGTTCATTTCTTTTCTATGGCTTCCCTTGTTATGCGCGACTTTGTTCTTTTTTTTCAGGGGGGTCGTTCCCCCCTCCGTTTTTTATTCTTTTTTTCAGGGACTTTCTCCAGCATGAGTAGACTTTTTCCAGTGTTCGTAATGTGTATGTAACGTAATTTAATGTGTATGTAACGTAATGTGGGTCAAGGGACGGAAAGTCGGTGTTATGTATGTAGTTAGTTTTCGCACATATGTAAATTTTCGTGTTTTGGGCGGGGGGACAATTTATTACGGACATGATGACACTACAATTACGTACCGTTTCGTGGTAGTCATTACGAAATTATTGTGATTTTTGGGCGGGGGAAATTTGCATTTTTTATAAAACAATCGTCGGTAACACATATTTGGCGTGGTATAAGTGTCCATTTTTTGATCTGAAGTTTAAAATGTACGTGATTTTCGGCCAATTTTGTAAATGTTGGGTTTCCAAAATGCTTGAGAACACGTCAAAAAAATTCGGGAAGTTGGGAATTTTCAAAAGAAAACAATAATTTTTTATCCAAAAGAAGTACACACATCTTGACATTTTACACGTGACATGACACCATTTACTTATCATCCGTCTCTGTAATACTTCGATGTGCACTTATCGGTATGTAAATAAGGCATGGATTATCATTATTATTACGTAATGTATGTATATTATTGATTGTCACCCTGGCCACGTCGTGATCGTGTCGCATGTGTCACTCTCTCCTCTCCTTCCGTGCACCCACCATTTCCGCCTGTGTCGTCGTATGTGTGTTTGTCATCACCACGTGTCAAGCGCGTGTCTCCCACGAGGATTAATTGGTTGTTGCGTTATGCAAATATTTAAATCAGGGGTTGATGCCTACCAGTTTTTCGGCGGTAATTTTGATGATTTTTTCAGCGGCGGGTAAAAAATGCTACCGGGATCGACCTCTGATTTTAAATTATCCTACCCACACATTGCACCACTCTAGTAGTTTATGTATATGTAAATATGTATGTCCGTATGCAAATAAGTTGCGTGGTCTGATTCGTAGTGGATGAAATTAATTAATGCAAGTTTTAAGACGTAAAAGTTTAAGAAGCACCGTCTCAATTCCTGTTTTTATGTATGGTGAAAGATGACTAGGCCTAAATTTTTTTTTCAATTCCTGAGTAATTTCTGAAGGTATTTTTTGAAATTTAAGATAAATTTGAGGTGCACATTTTTGATGTAAATTTGAAAAAATTGGTAAATTGGTATTTTCCTAACTAAAAAATTATGTAATTTACATACCAATTTTTTATATATTTTTTTGCTATACGGAAATTTACACGTCAAATTTATCTGACCAAAAAAGAACTTGGAAATTTACAGAATTTTTCAAAATTTATAATTTCCAGCCTAATCATCTCCACCTCTACGTATTAAATTTACCTCGCACTGCTGCTGAGTAGACACACAAAATTTGTAAAAAAAAATTCCTGTCCGAAAAGTTTTGCATAAATTTTATATTTATTTTTCACTTAAAAAACAATAGAAATCATCCTCATTTCGAAGAATGAATTAAAAATGAAGTCTTCATTTTATTTCCTTTGAACAGCTTAGCGTCCTCGTTGAGCGATCTGAGCTACGATGTGGCCGTGCTGGAGAGAGCCCTTCGGACGAATGATGTCGCCAAGGTGAAAAAGTGCTTTGAAAAACATCGCCATCGTTTCCAGGTATGTAAATCCATAAGTAATTCAACACTGATCGTTTAATTTGGACGCTTTCTTTTCCATCATTTCGTTACTGGGACTGTTACACGATCCGTTTTATGGGACTGACTTTAGTGTTGCGATGTGTATGGATGAGAGGAAACTTTGTAATCCGGACAGGGCACGTGGAAGGTGTGGGGACAATGTTGGATTTATCCTAGGGTTGTACGATGTGGAAATGAATGGGATTTTTTGAGAGTTTTGGATATGTTCCAAATGAAAATAAATTCTAGGAAGTTTTCTTTTTACATTTTTGGTATTTTAAGAATGAAAATAAATTTAGGACTTTTTTGACATTTGTAGCATGAAAATAAATTCTATAAATTTTCGACATTTTGACAGTTTAACTGAATTCTCGAGATTGTCGATATTTTGTCCATTATCTTCATTAAACTAAATTCTCGACATTTTTTTCATTTTATAAATGAAAACAAATTCTCTAAATTTTCCATATTTTGTCCATTCTGTCCATCAAACTAGATTTTCGACATTTTGTAAATGAAATAAAATTCTATAAATTTTCGACATTTTATCCGTTTTGTCCATTAAACTAAATTTTCGACACTTTTTCAATTTTATAAATGACGCTAAATTTTCGAAATTTTGTCATTAACTAAATTTTAGACATTTTGTTCACGAAAATAAATTCCACAAACCTCCCTCCCCCACACATATATACCTCACCATTCCCACCAAAAATTATCCCCCCAAATTCCACCTTACATTCCGCTGCCCCTGCCCGCTTCCAATCCAACCCTACATTACACATTATCTCACAACCTGCATTATACATTACTCCTCGATTTCGAACCAGTCACCAGGGTCGTTTCCTTTCCTCCTCGCCACGTCCCGCCATCCATCCATCCATACAAATACATAAATATATTGATACAGTTTCGAACACGGCTGGCTCGAAAACAGTTGACGATACCCCAGTGACCAGAGCATAAAAACCACACTACTTTCATTCTCCTAAGGAGGAATTGTAACGATGTCCACTAGTCCGTCCGGCCTGGGAATGACGACCAGGCTGGAACCACGCCGTTGAGAACGTGCCACAACAGATTAATTCCCATTTACCACGTATATTACACAACGACGATCCATCCCCACAATGTATTCCAGTCACGAAGCTAGTCACTAAACTATGTAGAGTATTGTTTGGGATGATGACGCCGATGCAACACACATACAGTCGGGGAGGACAGGGTTTCGGGTCAATTTGTTAAGACATTTATTGCAGTGGAAGGAAAGCAAGGTGGGAGAAAGTGGGAGAAAGTGCAAGAAATGCAGGCCTGATTAAAGAAATTGGAGCTACGAAAGTGTAGAATTTTTCAATTTTATGAAACTCCAGGGGTGTTTTTTTCTTGCGGGTTTGTCACATTTCTTGCAGTGCGAAGCAAGAAGTGCAAGAAATGGGAGGTGCAAGAAACTACTAGCCGCGCGGCACTATTTTCAGCAGTTTCTTGCAGCTTATATTTCTTGCAGATCAAAATATTCATCTGCAAGAAACGACGTTCTCCTCCATTATTTCTTGTAGATTTGGTACATTTCTTGCACTGCAAGGCGAGCAATGCAAGAAATACGAGGTGGGAGAAAGTGCAAGAAATACGCGTCATTTAGCCACGCGCCTTATGAACTATTTACCGCGATGGGCCGTAGTTTCTTGGTCTTGCATTTCTCCCAGGTCAAAATATTCCCAAGAAACCACTTTCTCTCCCTTATTTCTTGCAAGTGACACCCGAAACCCTATCCTCGGACGGACGTTTGATTCCTGACTGAAAATTGTCCCTCAATTTGGTAGATAGTCATTTAGTCCGCGACACTTGCACGTTTTCGCCGGGCAGACGTGCCCCAATGAATGAAGGAGAGAAATGCAAAATATTTTGTGTACCGTGTTTATCAAATATTCATGAATTTCCTCCTCTCCCTCCCGTCATCAGCGTGAAGATGTAATCCAAATCGGGCGAAAGGGAAGGATGCAGTGGCCGCGGAAAGAAGCTGGAGGGGACAGAGGGACAATGACCCCACTGTAATCCAATCATCTGTCCATCTTATTAAAACCTGTCCTTTCTCCCTATCCTACAATGTTAGCGTCCCCAGATGTCCCCACAGCTTCCGCGGCCACTGAAGATGCATATGTAAAGGCATAATGTAAAGTGGCCGCGGAAGCTTGAGGGGACAGAGGGGCAATGTCCCTATGGTTTTTTAATGTTCCCATCTTATATAAACCCGTCCCTTCCCCCTATTCTGCAATGTTAGCGTCCCCAGACGTCCCCACAGCTTCCGCGGCCACTGCTCCCTCAACAAAGTCTACTTTTCTCCCTCGCAGTGGCCGCGGAACGAAGCTTGAGTAGACAGATGAACAATGTCCCCACGGTTGTTTCATGTTCCCTTATATAAACCCGTCCCTTCCCCAATCCTATAATGCCAACGTCCCCCTCTGTCCCCACACCTTCCGCGGCCCCTGCAACTAAGGATATGACGGAGTTTGACTTGGTAACAAACAAGCAGCTCCGATAAAGTAAACCTGCCGCATCATTTATTTATGCGGGAGTCATTTCTCTCTAAATTTCGCATCCATTGATCCTTCAGGTTAATGCGTTCCGGGATCCATGTATGCATAAGGAAGGAAGGCAGGAAAAGCGGGGTGATAAATATGGCATGAAAAACGACATTGATTTCCCCTTGTTGTTTTTCCTCTAGCTTCCGGGAAAATTATGTAATTTTTTCGGTGAATAGAGACAGACAGCAGTGTTTCGTGTCTTGGCCGGTTTTGCTACATTTTTTACAGGAGAAAGCAAGAAACGTAGGAAATGTGAGGTGCAAGTAACTGTGAAAAAACGCAAAAAAGTGCATTTCCTGGCGGGTTTGCTAAATTTCTTTCAGGTGAAAGCAAGAAATGCGAGGTGCAAGAACCTTGAAGAAATATAAGCGCCCTTTAGCCACGCGCGGTATAATCTATTTACCGCGGCGGGACGTAGTTTCTCCCGCCTTGCATTTCTCCCAGGTCAAAATATTCCCCTGCAAGAAACCACTTTCTCCCCATTATTTCTTGCACTTTCACCCTAAAAACGGTCGTTATTTTGACCTGCAAGAAATACAAAGCGCAATAAACGACGTCCCGCCACTGTAAATAGCACGTGGCTATATGGCGCTTATTTCTCGCACTTTCTCCCACCTCACACTTCTCGCCTTGCTTTCTCCTCAACTCAAGAAATTTATGTATCAAACCCGCAAGAACCCTACTAATTTTCACCCTGACAAATACGGACAGACAGACAGACAGACATCAGTCTTACTTAGTTAATTTTAGTGGGTAAATCTCTCCCCCTTAATTTGACACGCTTTCCCATCCAATTTATTCATTCGACGTGGCTTGCTAAATCGGGTGATGTGTCACTCGCCAAGAGTGCGTTATTGTGTCGTGGCTTAATTGATATTGTGTCTATAAACGACCATCCATCCATCCATAAAACATTCCTCGCTATTTACTAACGAACGCCACGTTTATTTCGCAGCTCATAGATCGTCCACCACCGACGACACAACAACAACAAGCCTCCACCAGTAGTGGAGGGGATGCTGGTGGAGGGGACACCGCCGCGGCACCACTCGCCGGCCCGTCAAGTAGACCCAGGTGAGCAATTAATTGTAATTCGTACCCTCTCCCACGTGGCAGTCAGTGACCCCTCGTTGTTGCATTTTATGTTGATAAATTTACATAGAATGAACCTCTCCCAGGCTGATTTTGGGCAAATTAGGGTGAATCGATGACAAATTTAATTGGGATGAAAGTCGCGAAAGACGCGATCTCCCAATGGGCACGTGGGGCAGAGATGTTTGCATCCGAGGAGGAGAAAGTGAGCCTTAAAGTCGGCAAATTTTACATTTTCTAATTTTATTGGAAATCTAATTTTATTTTTTTATTTCATTTTTTTTCCTCCTCGAATGCAAATATCTGATCCAAACGTGTCATTGGTCGAGATATTAGCATCCCAAGAGGAGAAAGCAAGAGGGAAATTTAGAAAGTGTAAAACTTGCAGACTTTAGGGAGCACTTTCTCCTCTTCGGATGCAAATATCTCGGCCAAACGTGCCCATTGGGAGATCGTATCTTTCGCAAATTTCATACCAATTAAATTTATCATCGATTGAAATTAGTTTGCCCAAAATCGGACAGCAAACTCTGGGAGATCTCAATTTTGAGTCAAATTCAGTGAGTCAGAAAGTCTCAGTTTTTTTATTTCTTATACCATGAAAAAGCAAACAGCCTCGAGCAGGGTGAATAAATAGGCAGTTTTTTCTCTCAGTATTTGCCTTAGTTTTTGGTTTCAAGAGGGTAAAAGAGAAAGAGAAAGTAGAATTTGAATCGATTCGTTCTAGCCTCCGAGGAAGATTTACTTACGGAGAAAGCTTTTTTTTATTAAGGGGTGAAAGCTGTTTATGAGATGGTTGTCTGTCTGTCTGTCCGTCCGAACGAAGAAACAGAAATTTTTAACTTTCAAGGTAAACTCGTAATCTCGAAGTCAAAAAGGTCCAAAAAAAGTCATGTAAGGGTCAAATAGCACATCACTTTTATAAGAAATTTAATCCTATTTAATAGGGACCTTCATTTTAACTTTAAAGGTCACGATAGGTCACTAAATATTAAATTTCATACAGATGTCACAAATGTCGAAAATATGACATTTTAACCAGATTTTGAACGCTGAACGTAAATTTGGTAGAACCAATGTTGACCTGGGGTACCTCGCCGACCCTAGGAACAAGGTCAAAGGTCAATACATAAAAAAACACGTTAGACGTGTCCATTTCCCTAAATTTTGTCCATACAAAAATAACGCTATTCATTTATAACCTGCATGCTTTCACCGCTTTCACCCCTTCGTTACCCTCGTTCTCCCCACTTTATTAGATATTTATCCCCACATATTTCCCCTATACAAAAAAAAACATCTCATTTTTCCTTTGAAATTCCAGCAAACCAAGTGAGATTACCAGCGCTGCCGAGCTGGAAGAAAATCCCGTCGTGTTCACCAACGCGCTCCATCTGGCCGTCGAGTGGGGCGCGAATGACGTGTTGCGCTTCTTACTTCGCGAAAACGTCGACCCGAACAAGGAAGGCCGGCTACCGGACGCGTACGACATGTCCGTCGCGGGGTCGCGGTCCGCCTCCGTGTCGGCGTGGGGGTCCGGGTGCGTGTTTTGCCCCCCCAGCCCGAAAAATATTAGCCGCGACGTCTCCCCAAGTCGGGAAGGTGGGCGCGTTTTTTCGCGAAATTCGAGCCGCAACGTGTCCTCCGAATCGTCCCGGTGCGTGTCCCCGTCGCCATGCCGGGACCGCTTGTGGTCTACGAAGGGTACCGGGACGGAGCAGGGGCAACTTGAGAGTAAGGCCGCTCTGAGGCGGGAAGCGTTCAAAAATGTGGCCCGCGTGGATGACAGGAACGACTCGTCGAACGGGGATCAGGATTACGCCCCGCAGAATAATCCGTCGGAAGTGAGGCCGATTATTTCCGTGGTTTATTGCGCGTCAGAGGAGAGGAGGAGGTCAAGTTCGGCGAGACCGAGTCAGGGTGAGATTGTCTTTTCGGGGAGTAGTTTAGGTGGTGGTGGGGGTGGGAGTGGGGGCGGTGGGGATCAGGATGGGGGGGATTGGACGCCAGGTGAGGAATGTGGGGGTGGCAGGCTATCTGGAACCGACTACGGAGGGTGTGGTACCGGAAATACCCGGGTTTTTAAGTGAATGATGTAAGGTCGATGAATAGATCAAATTTAAAGAGTACGCCATTTCTTCGTAAAAAACCGAACTTTGCGCTCAATTTTTTCAGGAAAAATAAAAATATGTACAAAACAATTATTATAAATTTAAAATTTTTGCGTTTTTTGTGCATATGTTGATTTTTTATGAAAAAATTCAATAGGAAAGTTCGATTTTTTATGTAGAAATGATCTACTCCTTAACCCCTGGGTTGACCCCGAGTCGTTCACTGAAAAACCTTGAATTTAGGGTTCCACCGGTTTACAGTAGGATCACCTCATTTGCATATTTTGACGAATTCGCGTTTAGAGACAGTATATTTATGCAAATGAGGTGACACACACAAATAATTCCACTGTATGGAGGTGGCTGGTTCCCGGTAGCTTGCCACCCCTGGAGGAAATTTTTGGGAGAATTTTCGACTAAAATGCCCCCTCCCCATTTTTCTGAACAGGTGGCCAACAACGCAGAATGAACCGGCGAGTCAGCTGGGTATCCAGTTTGCGCGAACCATCGGATCGCAACCGCGGCATGTCGCTGGCAGGTCGCCTCCGCCGCCAAAAATTGCGCCTCCCGCGCCAACGCAGCTTCTCTCTCGAGTCTGAACTGGAATTAAGAACGGTGGCGAAACGGGCCGTCGGGGTGGCGGGAGCGTTGGCAAGTATTCGCGAGGCGAGGAGGAGCATCTCGCTGAAAAACAGTCCGCTCCACTTCCCCTGGCATTTTCGGCGGGAATCGTCCTCTGCGATGCGGGATGGTGGCGTTTTCGCGGAACTGAGGCGAAGTTCGGAAATTTTTAGAAATATTCTACTCTCCATTGCTGGCAGGGACGAGTCGACACCGACAGGTTAGTTTTTCTTATGAAGAATTTTTTTGTCTATAGTTTGTGCGGAATTAATAGGCTATTCATTCACGTAGGGCTTGGTAATTTGATAAAATTTGTAAAATACGGAAACGTATACTCATATTTCGAAGGAGAGAGCTTCCAAATTTTTGTAAATTTTCTCAGATCAAGAGTGGCGTGTCTTAATTTTGGGAAAGTTTGTAAAATTATTGTACAAAATTTATTTGCAAAGTTACGAATGACTGCGTGAATTGACAAAGAATTTCAGTAACATAAGTGTGTAAAAAACTGTGGAGAAAGTAGAATTGTGCATCAGTGTTTTATGAGTTACAAATAACTGCGTAAATGGCCTTAAAGTCTTTTAATTTTTCGTAATACCACGCCATATAAAGTTCCAATCTGTTACTATGTTAAATTCTGGATAATCACAAGATTTACACCTTTCTTCGAATCTGTCTAATCCCACTTTTCTCTTAACAAAAATTTTGAAATTTTGCCCCCGAAATTTTTTATTTAATTTTTATTTTTACTTAAATTTTGTTCCCCACCTTTCTCCTCAAATTTTCAAATTTTGCCCACAAATCCATTTTCTCGCCATGCATGTCCATCCATCCGTGCCGATAAATTCCTGGTTTCGTGGGTCCGGCTTATTTATAATTTACACCTCGACGAGAGATATCGATCATCATTGATTTATTTGGGCTCAAAGTTAGTTGTAATTTCCTTGATTAACTTCATTACTTTGGGAATCGTTGTTTTATTCACGTCCTTATTCCTCCTTCGCGTATTAACAAGTGCACACACCAACCACCACCAGTCGCCGCGGAAGCCTGGGGGACATCTGGGGACATTAAAATTGTAGCATGTTTTAAGGAGGGCGTGTTTGTAGCATGTTTTATATAAGATGATGCGGACATCTCATAACCGTGGGGACATTGCCCCCTGTCCACACGCTGGGTTCCGCGGCCACTGCACACCAGGGCGGCCACGGCCACCTAAACCACAAACAAGTGCTTGTAGTAACCCGTGAAATAATGGAGATATTAGTGCCAAACAAGCCCAACTTGTGCCACTTGTGCACACATTCTCTCGTTCTCTCTCTTTCTCTCTATCTCTTCATATAATGATCACTCGCCAGGCATGCAGGGAGAGAGAGAGGAGGACGAGTAAATTGTTCTAATTTATTCAGCAGGCCGGGGAAAGCAGGACATAACGCGGCACCATTTATGCACCACGCTGCTGCTGCTGAGAGGTTACGCTTAGGTTTAGGCAGCGAGGGGCCAATTTTGACAGTGTTTCAGGTTCTTGTCCGGTTTGCTACATTTCTTGGGGTACGAAGGAAGAAAGGGGGAAATGTGAGGTGCAAGAAAGTTGGAGAAAGTGGGAGAAATGTGTGTCCTCTAAGCACGCGCAGTAATGAGGCATTTACAGCGGGGGAAAGTAGTTTCTTGCACCTTGCATTTCTTGCATTTCAAAATATTCACCTGCAGGAAATCACTTTCTCCCATTATTTCTTGAATTGACGGTCTTGTTGCTTGCCAGTTTGCCACATTCCTTGCACCGCGAAGTCAGAAATGCAAGAAATTTACGCCATCTAACGTCATATTCTCTGTATGAACTATAAATTAAGAGTTTCTTTCACCTTGCATTTCTCCCAGGTCAAAACATTTATCTGGAAAAACCCACTATCTGCCCTTATTTCTTGCAATTTCGCTTACTTTCACCTGAAACGTTACAATTTACCTTCTTACATCCCGAAGGTAACGTGGCATTTCGGGGCAAGATGAGACACCCCATTTATCTCTGGGTCATCGTCCCCCATCCACAGCCCCTGCTCTGTTTAACAACCACCAAACCCAACACAAAATTAAACCCACTTTATCCAAACTACAACTTAAATAGTAAACTTTCTCCATAATTTACACCCCACTGTTTTCCCTTCCTAACTAACTAACTAACTACATAAATGTATTGTCCACTTCGGCCCGAGCTAAATAAATACATAATTGGACCCTACAACTTTTTAAGCATTGTCTCCCTGCTCCAAACATTTCCATATTTATGCATACAAGTAGACCAGCGCCACTAAACACTGCACCCGAGATTATCTCCACGAACGTAAATAAATATGACGCCAAACAAAATACGTGAGTTTAATACTTTGTGTCACTCACTCAGCGTTTAGAAACAGTGGCCGCGGAAGCCGTGGGGACAGCGGGGGACGTTAAAATTGTAGGATAGGGCGTAGGGCCAGGGTTTATATAAGATGATGCCGACATCGAACAACCGTGGGGACATTGTTTCCACGCTTCCGCGGCCACTGTGTGCATATTTACTGCAAGAGGAGGCCGAGGCAAATGGATTCGTATTTACATAGACAGTGGCCGCAGATGCCGTGGGGACATCGGGGGACCCTAAAATTACAGGATAGGGGAGAAAGCCCGGGTTTACATAAAATGATTCCGACATCGAACAACTCTAGGTACATTGTCCCCTCTGTCCCCACACCTTCCTTCCGCGGCCCCTGACTTCAAAAGTAGACTTGTCATCTACGTATTTACAGAGGCCGAGGCAAGCATATGCATGCATACGGAGACATTCTTTATGTTGATTTAGGTAAAAGCGAGCACTTTATTAATTACATATAATCCACTGACACGAGTGTATAATGGTCCCTGTCACTCTGTCCGATTCGAGGAGAAAACACTTCTGAGTCTCATTTTCCGTGGAGAAAGCAACCAGACACAGATCCACCACCACTGTCAACTGCACGACCAAAATAGTGCGAGAGAAAGTGAGAGACATGATAATTTACACGGAATTACTCGTCCCATAATCCCCCTAAAGCAAAGGATTTGCTCACTTTTCTCTATACAGACAAACACACACTTTTCTTTAGAAATGTTTAATTGAAAAGGAGAGCCGGGGAAAGGGGGAGAGGTCAATTCAATTCCCGGCGTGGCTTGATTGGACGTGTTGTTTTTGGAAATCATGACGTAATTTGTACGCCAGGAAGGAAGGGAAGGGTGGCTGGTTTTGTAGCCCAGTTAGTCAGTTAGTGATTATTTAAATAAAATTACTATGTAGGAGAGAGAGAGCAGGGGCCGCGGAAGGTGTGGGGACAGAGGGGCCATTAACATTGTAGGATAGGGAAAGTAATGGTTTATATAAGATGGGGAGATGATGTGGACATCGAATAACCGTGGGGACATTGTCCCTCTGCCCGTCAAGCTGCTTTCCGCGGCCACTGAAAGTGAGGGGTAAAGTGAGAGAAAGCTCCGTGGCCGCGGATGCTGTGGGGACAGGGGGACAATGTCCCCACAGGTATTAGATGTCCCCATCACCTACCAATCGTATATAAGCTCTTCCCTTCCCCCCATCCTGCAATGTTAGTGTTCCCCGATGTCCCCACAGCTTCCGCGGCCACTGGAGGGAAGGAATGTGCACGTGTAAGTGCCTGACTTTCACCACGCACTCCAACTCCCCTCCACTCAGGCCAGTCACTCACTCAACTTGGATGCATTGGAGGGTGAAAGCTGAGTGGAATTGGCTTGTCCATCCATCCGTTGGCCGTGTTATTTGTCACTTTTGTCCCTCTCGAGTCCTCCTCTTGTCCACATTTCCGGGATGAGACGCAACCCCGATGAGATTCTCACTAACTATGGTTCGTTCAAAGTTAATCGCGGTAGAAAAAATCTGTAAGGTTATTTGGCGAATGAAGACTTGATTTTGATTATGTTTCAGCTTTCACTCGATTTTCAGTGAAAAAAATGAGTAATTAAAGCGTTCTCAATGGCAATCAGAAATTTAGGCCATGTGACATTTTTAATTTTAATTTCGAGGACTTTTTAATTTAACTCGTTTGAAGTTAATATGCAGTAAAAAATCCGTACGGTTATTTGGCGCATGATTGGTTTCAATTACTTGGAACCATATTATTTTTCAACTTTCACTTGATTTCCGTTTATAAAATTCCTAATTAAGTCATTGCTAATGGCAATCAGAAACTTAGGCATTTTTACCTTTTAAAACATTTTGAATACTTATTAATTTAATTTTAAAAAACATACTAATTTTGAACAAACCATAACTAACTATTTTTTTGCAGATGAGGACCAATGCGACCTGGACGGAAAGGACTTAAGCTTTTCCTCCCTTTTGGCGGCCCACGGGCGGCGACGGTCCGAACGGAGCGTGTCTTATTCCTCATGTTCCTGGTCGGACGTGTCCATCGGGTCAGAAACCTTGCCAAGAAAGCCGCTCAGCGTGAATCCCGCCATTTCCAAGGGGCTCCTCGTCGTCTCGATTGAACCGCGCGGACGTGAAGTGACCTTTGCGGAGCACTACACTTCCGCCCAGTTGATGACGTTGCCGCCCTTGTTTTTAGCGGCGTGCAGGGGACGATGTACTCCGGTCACGTTACTGCTGCAGTACGGGGCCAAGCCAAATATTACGGTGAGTTTTTAAGGTTAACTTTCTGGACGGGGGGGATAGATGCCACATTTTTAGCGGGGAAAGGAAGAAATGTGCGACATTAAGCGACACGCTGTATCAAGGATCAATTAGCGGCGGGAAGGAGTTTAGTGTGCATTTCTGGCAGGTCAAAATATTTACCTGGAGTAAATTACTTTCGTCTTGCCGTTATTTTTGGCAAAAGTGGTTACTTGCACCCGAAACACAGGCGGATAAACCTATTTTTTGATAGTGCAAATTTTTGGCATGATTTTTTTGCGCATAAAAGACATTTTAGTTGAAGTTTTTCGTTTCCTGCGGATTTTTTGCTGCATTTCTTGCACTTCGAAGCATGCAAAGTTAGAAATGGGAGGTGCAAGAAACTGAGAGAAAGTGCACAAAATAAAGCCATCTAGACCCTCGCAGTATAAACTATTTACCGTGGTGGGCCGTACTTTCTCCCGCCTTGCATTTCTCCCAGATTCAAATATCCCCCTTTTAAAAAACCACTTTCTTCCCCCAAAACTGATTACTTTCACCCGAAACACTGCTTCGTTTTGCGTGCGTGACCAATCAATCAATCGGCCGTCCACTTGGCTAAATTATCAGGTAGTCTAAGCAGCGATCTTACCCTGCGTCGATTGCATCTGCGGCTTCTTCCCCGATCTTCAAGTGGATTGGATTGGTTGTTCGTGCCTCGTGAATATTTCGGTGGGGCTTCTCTCACTCATCAACTTTTCAGCGGGTCGGTCCCTGCCCTCCGAAATGGCGTGTCAATGGAGCGTTTCACTCCGGCAGAGGAGTGAAAGTAATGAGGGCATTATTTCCGAGGACACAAAGTCAGGAGAGGCTTGCCCTTGGCACGCGGTGTTTCGTTTTTTTTTGTTTGCGGGTGGGTGGGCTACATTTCTTGCAGTGGGAAGGAAAAGATAATGCGGGAAATGGGAGGTGCAAGAAACTGGGAGAAAGTGCGAGAAATATAAGCAACCTAGCCACGTGCTGTATGAAGTATTTAGAAAGTGTGGTTTCTTGCACCTTGTATTTCTCCCAGGTTAAAATACCTGACATTTTTTCACTCTAAAGAGTGAAACGCAAGAAATGCGAGGTGCAAGAAAGTGGGAGAAATTGTGAGAAATATGTGTCATACAGCCACTTGCTAAATGAGGTTTTTACAGCTAAACGTCGTACTTTCTCCCATCTTGAATTTCTACCAGGTCAAAATAGTTAACATGTCTTGCACATGTCTTGCACAGAAAGAAACGCAGGAAATATGAGGTGCAAGAAATTGCAAGAAAGTGCAAGAAACTGAGAGAAATTGCTCTATCTAGCCTCCCGCCTTGTGGGCTATTTACAGCACAGAGGTGTAATTTCTCCCGCCTTGAATTTCTCCCAGGTTGTTACACTTTCCTGCAAGAAACCACTTTCTCCCCTTATTTCTTGCACGTGGTTATTTTCACCCGAAACACTGCCCGTATTTGTAGATCGATTACTAATATTCTCTCCTCTCTCTCTTGTGCAGGACTCCTTGGGGAATAGCCCCCTCCACTTGGCCGTCATACAGCTGCCCACCCCGTGGGACCCGGTCCTCGACTTGATGGAGGCTGGTGGCAAAATCTTGATCCGAAATGAGCACGGCGTCACCCCGGTCGACCTCCTCCCGCCCGTCGCCCGCCTCCAGAAACAACTCGTGGCCGACTGCTGGCTCGGCATCGTGCTGGAAGACGCGGCCCACATGACGGAACAGTCGGAACAGGGTGAGATTTTTTTTCAGGGGGCCGAACAGAGGCCGCGGAAGGGGACAGAGGGACAATGTCCCCAAAGTTATGAGATGTCTGCATCATCTCCCTATCTTATATAAACCCGGACCTCCCCCACTTCTGCAAAGTTAATGTCCCCAGATGTCCCCACAGCTTCCGCAACCACTGATCTTCGTCATCGTCATACAGTGGCTGTGGTAGCGTGGGGATTGGGGGGCGTTGTCCCCACTGCTAATCGGTGTCCCCAACACCTGCCCATATTTTTCAAACTCGTCCCTTCTCTATCCCACAATTTTAATGTCCCCACATGTCCCCACGGCTTTCACGGCCACTGATAACCAGGTGGAGGACGGATGAATGGATATGAACAGTGGCCGCGGAAGGGTGCAGACAGAGGGACAATGGCCCCACGGTTGTCAATGTCCGGATCATCTCCCCATCTTATACAAACCCGTCCCTTCTCCCCTAGCCTACAATATTAACGTCCCCTGATGTCCCCACACCTTCCGCGGCCACTGTCAAGTAACAATGCACCCCTGCCATTCCCTCCTCCATAAGAATCGCTCTCCTGGAATGAATTAAAACTGAATAATTGATCCAGGTGCTCGAGAAACGGGATCACGATCAAGCCGCCTCTTCAAAAAGTTGCATGAAGCTCGGCACCACAGAAGTGATAAAGCCGGAGGAGCAGGTACCGAAAACCGGACGGGGTCCATGATCCCCCCTGGAGTTGGGGGGCCGGGTGGTGGTGGAAATGGTACCGGCGGGAAAATGGGGGGAGGTCCAAGAGGCCCAGAAATTGTGGGAGATTATCCCTCCACTGGAACGATCGAGGGACAAACGCCCGGTGTCACGACGAATCTGATGAATAGAGGAAATCGGGTAATTGCTATTTTTTTGTATACTATTTTTTTACAGGGGATGTCACCCGGGTAGAACGTACTGTTAGTCGAATTCTGCAGTGTAAGGATAAAAGCAGGATGCATATTGTACATATTTTGCATATTTTTTTGGTACATAATCTTGCCCAAAATATGAGTACGTTTTACTCTGCAGAACGGTATGTGCATAATTCTGCGTCAAGTTTTCTGCACGGATCGACCTTCGTCGAAGTTTTTCGGGAGAAAATTGCCAAATTTCGGCACAAAAATTATCCCAATTTTTGCACGGGCTCCAATCCGATTTTGACCAGATTAGTTAATTCGACTAGTATGAAATTTGCGAAAGACGCGATCTCCCAATGGGCACGTTTGGAAAAGATATTTGCATCCAAAGAGGAGGAGAAATTACCCCTAAATTTTCGCAAATTCTACATTTTTCAAATTTACTATGCGTTTTCTCCTCTTCGGATGCAAATATCTCGGCCAAGCGTACCCATTGGGAGATCGCGTCTTTCGCAAATTTCATACTAATTAAATTTGCCATCGATTCCAACTAATTTGCTTAATAGCAAATCACACACGCTGTATAAACCTCCATTCTTATGTAGTAAGTCAAGTATGTACATAAACTTAGCGAAATTCAGTACATACATACATATTTCCAAAGAAAAAGCCACTTAATTGGATTCCACGCATGAAATGAGACGAATCCGATATCGACACTGGTTTCGTCGGTTTTCATTTGTAAAACAAAACATGAAACAGATCCCGATTTTACGTACGTGTCGTGTTGCAACATGCAGAGGCGTGTACTCAGGATCACAGAAAGTACATACATAAAGCGGTGTCCCAACTTTGTGTGTGATTCGGCTAATCCGTGAAATAAATCTGCCATGTAATTATTCGCGGAGGAGGAATTGTTCGCATCAAAGTGAAGGTTGGATGTTGGTCCGAGACGATTATTTTGACGTTGTAATGTGGTCTGCGTTGAACTTGAGCTTATACCTCCACACACAAAGCCAGATTACGACACGATGCATTCAAATTGAATGCGAGAAGGGGACTTTGTTAGGATAGGGTTTCGTTAATGGTGGGTTTTGTTACATATAAATACGTTTCTTGCAGTGGGAATTAAGACTTGTTGGAAATGGGAGGTGGGAGAAATGGGCGCCATCTATCTAGTCATACTTATTCAAAAAATTAGTAAGTCAGTCATTGCAATTTCTGACTGAAGATTTTCATTCACATTCAGTAATTTTCGTTCAAATTCATTTCATTTCACTTCATCGGACTTCATTTCTTACTTCGCCCCGTGTTCTAAGCATAGGGTGAAACATGAAAGGAGTAAAAAATCTTTCATTCATAGTCATTCATCTGAAAGGATGGAATCTTTCAGTCGCTTTCATTAAAATGATAGGAAATTCATTTTCATTCAATATCATAATCAGTCAAATGAAGGAAAGTGAACAGGTATGCATCTATGGTGGAGGAATTATAATTAAGCACATTTCTGCGTAAGGAATGCAGGTAAAAATGTGCTTAATTTTAATTTCTCGACCATAGTCAAGCGCCGGATGAAGTATTTACCTCGGCGTATCATAGTTTTGTGCACCTTGCATTTCTCCCGGGTCAAAATATTTACTTCTAAGAAACCACTTTCTCCTCCCCACTATTTCTCCCGCTATTTCTCCCACGTGGTTACTTTCACCCACGTGAAACCCTGTTCATTCCGTTCGGCCAGACCGCACCACGAAGTGAAAGGAAGGAGCTCATGTCATTGGCAAATCCGCATTTGAGTCACCATCCCGTCAATTCCGAGGACCCGATATGCAGACTTTCACCGCCGCGTTACGTAGTTAAAATCCTGTTTTGATATTGTTGTTCAGAAGACAAAGCCTTCAAATCGGGACCGACACCCATCTCGTTTCATCAGCTTGGTCGATCTCCAACCACTCAGCCTGTCCTTATTGTGGAGAAATAATGCCCCGCGGTACGGGGGGAGGGGACAATAATTTCTTTAGATAAATGTGGGGATAAATGCTCGTTTACATTGTCCTGAAAGTGAAAGTGAAGGGATTAAGGACAGCAAAGGGGACAATATTGTCCTTGGGACGATTAATGTCCCCCTCGTTCTGCGGACATTGTCCTATAATTCCCGTGTATTATGGGACAATAATGTCCGAAGAGAAATATAGGGGATAAATCCTCGTTCCGCGGACATTGTCCTCCCGAACGTGGCGGAATTCCCGTGTATTTACGCTGTGGAACAGAGGGGACAATATTGTCCTCGGAACGATTAATAATGTCAAACTTCTGTGTCCTCTTGTTCCGCGGACAACGTTCTAAACGTTGAGAAATTCCCGTGTATTTTGGACATATTTACCCCGTGGACCATATGGGACAATAATGTCCGGCCGGAGAAAAGTGTGTGGTGGGACTAATCCTGCCCCATTTCCCCCCTTTGTTCCGCGGACAATGTCCGGAACGCGGAGGAATTCCCATGTCTGCATATATTAATGATGACAGGACGGAACTTAAGTAATAACGACTCCACTTTTGAACTTAATAGCAATTCTAATCTACTTAGCTCCTTGCTTGCTCGGTCTGTGTCAACAAGCGAGTCAGCGTTTCCTTCCAAAACCATAAGAAAATGTGGAGCCTGGAGAAAAGCAGGGTTTCGGGTGAAAGTACGTAAGCAACCACGTGGAAGAAATAAGGAGAAGAAGAAAGTGGTTTCTTTGCAGGGAAATATTTTAAAGTGGGAGAAATGTAAGGTGGGAAAAAGTACGCCCCGCTGCGATAAATAAATAGGTGATTATAAAGCGCGTGGCTAAGTGGTGCGTATTTCATGCACTTTCTCCCAGTTTCTTGCAGTTTCTTTGGGTTTCTTGCAGTTTCTTGCACCTTGCATTCAAACTTCTTGCTTCCCACTGCAAGAAATGTGACAAATTCGCAAATAACGAAACCCTGTGTAGAATTATGAGAGCCCATCTTTTCAAGTGGATTCTTTACGAAGCCCAATTAATTAGGGGCTTTTTCCCACGAGGTTATTATTCCAACTTTCCACATGCACCTCCTCATCCTCCTCCGACCAACTCGGTCCCCATTCTCCTTCCGCTGGACGGGACGGATTCATCTTGTCAGAAATTCGTATACATACATTCTGCGACGCGAATCATTGTACAAAGAGGCTGTTTGGGTGGGTGGAATATGTAAATTAGGGTTTAAACCACTGTCCAAAACGGGTTTTAACCAGGTTTGGACACAATTTTGGAGGTCCAAAATGTCCAAAATGTCCAAAAGTGGTGAAAATAGAAAATGGGGCAAAATGTTACAATTTCTTCATTTTTTAATCGTTCGATAATCTGTTAACGTATATTTATGTAATCTCCCCTTAATTTTGACCATTTTGCTGCGTAATAATACGACACGGTTTATAAAATTTCTCAATTTCTCAAGTAAGAAAACATGTTAAGAGAAAAGTTTTTCCAAATTTCGTGGTATTACAGACACACTAAAACGCTCCAAATTAATGAGAAATTACATTTCAGTTCATAAATTTGCAAGAAAAGTCGTTAATAAAGAAGTATTTGTAACATTTAACCCCATTTTCAAATGTTGATGCTTTGGGATATTTTGCACGTCCAAAATTATTTTGCACAATTTTAAACACTTGTTTAAACATTTTGAACAGTTTTTGGCCTTCCAAACTTATATTTTTAGCCCTTCTGAACCGTGTTCAGTCCAAAAATATGTAGTTTTGGACTCGTAAAACGAAACACTGGCGGGATTAAAGTTGTCAGAAATGTATGTCCATTATGCGCCGACGATTTGGTTTATGTGAGGTATGTACGTGGGGATTAATTAGAAGGGTCTCCCTCCCCACGAGGGGGGTGGGGTGGGGAGGAGAGGGGATATAAATTCCAATCTGATGGTGAAAACGGTGCGAGAAAGTCTTTAGATTTGGAGGATTTGCGTTCTCGTTGGAATCATTGCTTTCACTTTCATTTCATTTCACGAGTCATGTACCTCCGACCACGAGGAGCAGGATGCACGATGGAAAGATATCGCTCTCTCGCTCGCTCCTCGTGCACCCTAAAAAAACTGGTAGCAAATCATTACCAACCCGGAGTATATGTGTATCTGCCTCATTCTTTAATGAAAAATTGACCATTAAAAATGGTACCTTTTTCCAAGCTATACCGGAATTTTCTAGCGAGTTATATCAAAAAATCAAGCCAAAAATTAGGAACCACGTGGCACTCATCTGTCCCTGAAAGAAAAATATTGGCGGCAAATTTCAATTTTTGAGTCAATTTTTTCTGTAGTTTATTAATTTTGTAAAATTTTATAAATTTTTTCGCACTATTTCCTCCACTGGGCGAAAACCACGTGGGCACTTTGCCCCCAAATATATTTTTTTAATGGGCCATTCAATGGAGTGATAAGTGCCACGTGGCGATTCCTAATTTTTGGTTCAATTTTTTGATATCACTTGCTACAAAACGGTGTAGGTTGAAGAAAAGGTTACATTTTTAGAATCAAATTACTAACAATCCGGTTGAAAGTTGGTATCAAGTTAATGCCAGATTTTTAACAGTGTGGTTTGAAATCTCGTCTTTTTTATTCCGGATTTTCTCTCTTTCTCTTTTTCGCCTCTCGCTTTTTAAACTTGGGACATGGCCGTGTCACTTGTCACTCAGTTGACAGCTCCATTAAAGGAACGATTCCCATGTTTGAAAGTTTTTTAATATCGTGATATCTTATCGGGTCCGCTTTACTGATTTCGCCCAGAGTTGTGCCATGGTCGGGAGGAGCGTAAAAGATGGAAATGACGCCAATTGGGGGGATTTTATTTAATGTGGGAATAAAATGGAGGGAATTTTGAAATTGCGAATAAATTTTGGGGATTTTTTTGGGCGTGGAAATAAAATTCTGAAATTTTGGGGGTGAGAATAAAATCCTCACATTTTCGGAAATGGAAATAAAATAAAATCCTGGCATTTTTGGCCGTGAAAATAAAATTCTGGCATTTTCGGGGATGAAAATAAAATCCTGGTATTTTCTGAAATCTAAATAAAATCCCGGCATCATAGGAGTAGAAATAAATAAAGGATATTTTTGAGATTTCGACCACGAAAATAAATTTTTGCCATTTTAAGCGTGAAAATGGTTAACTGGAATTTTCAAAATTTCCATTAACCTGCCCAAAATTAAATTTTGGACAGGCCATTTCTGCCACTGGCCTTATTACGGCATACATTTAAATACGGGCAACCATGAAATGGCAAAAATTTCAAAATCCTGACATTGGCAACTCTTTTTTCCCGCCATGAATTTATTTCTCTCTTATAACACAGATTTATTATATTTTCCTATATTTTTGAACTCCTTATTTCCTCCGAGAGCTCAATAATAATCGGAATAAAACTTTTACTCTCGTTTCTAGATATCATCATCTCGTATACCCGTATTTTTGAATAATTTGACAATCTCTCTGAAAGAAAAAAGAAGATATTTGGGCTAAAAGCAAGCTCTTTTTATGGGATGAACTAATGTCGCACTTTAGCAAATAATTCACGAGTGGGGACTATTTACACACGAATGACGGATCGTGGCGTGCTGAAATACGACACGTTTTAGGAGATCCCGGTGTTTCGGGTTAAAGCAAGTAACCAAAATTGCAAGAAATAACTGGAGAAAGTGTTTTTTCTTCAAGGTTATTTTGACCTGGGAAAAGAGTAATATACCTGTTCACCTTCATTCATCTGACTAATTATGATAGTGAATGAAAACCCAAAATTGTAAGGAATAAGGGGAAGAAAGAGTTTTTCCCTGGGAGAAACATACCTGTTCACCTTCATTCATTCATTTGACTGATTATATGATTGTGAATGAAAATCAATTTCCTCTCATATGAATGAAAATGGCTGAAGGATTCCGTCAATTCAGACTGAATGAATGTGAATGAAAGGATTTTTCACTCATTTCATTTTTTTACCCTATGCTTAATACATGGGACGAAGTAAGAAATGAAGTCCGATGCAGTGAAATGAAATGAAATGAATTTGAACAAAAATGAATGTGAATGAAAATCTCCGGCCAGAAATCGGGATGACTGGCTTTTGAATGAAAAATAAATTTTTTAACAGGTATAGGCAAGACGGCGCACATTTCTTGCACTTTCTCCCAGTTTCTTGCACCTCTCATTTCCTGCATTATGTAACAAAATGCAAAATGTAGCAAATCCGTCAAAAAACGAAACACTGGGCTACCCTACACTGCAAATAAACTGGTGTCAATTCCGCGCGGTGTAGTCACATATAGACACCACGCGGTGTTAATTGCCCGTATTAACACCGCGTGGTGTCTATATGTGACTACACCGCGCGGAATTGACACCAGTTTATTTGCAGTGTACGTTTTCAAACTTATTTGAATAATTCACTCAAAATTGAACCAAATCACTTTCACCTTCCCCTGAAATATTCGTAATTTTATAAACTTTCAATTTATAAAATACACATTACTCAAAATTTGATTAGTTGATCATCCCAGGATGACTGAGTGACTGATGAGATATCTAAATTCCAATCTGTGCCGCCTCAATTTCAAATCGAATTTGCTTAATTTAAAGAGCACACAGACGGACAGAGTTTGATTAACTGGATGAAATGTGCAGTGGCCGCGGAAGGTGTGGGAACATCAGGGGCCATTTACATTGTAGGATAGTGGGAAATGAAGAGTTTATATAAAATGGGCAGATGATGCGGACATCCAACAACCGTGGGGACATTGTCCCTCGGTCCCCTCACCCTTCCGCGGCGACTGTGTGCATATTTACTGAAGAACATGGATACGTATGTACCTGAACAGTGGCCGCGGAAGCCGTGGGGACATCTGGGGACGTTAACATGGTAGGATATGGGGAAAGGGACGGGTTTATATAAGATGGGCAGATGATGCAGACATTTCATAACCGTGGGGACATTGTCCCTCTGTCCCCCCAAGCTTCCGCGGCCACTGGTTGTAAGACCACGCCACGGAATGAACACGTGGAAATATGTGTAACTTAATAAAAAACAGACGGAGGGGAAAGTTTGGCTGTTTATTTAATACAATTTTTTCCTTGCACACGGGAAAAAAATAAGGTCACCAAAATTGTGGCTTCTTCCTCGTGTGATGATAATAATGTTTATCATTTCCGTGAGGTAATAACCAGGGGTGGGCAAAATACTGGATGGAAAGCAGATTTGTTTTTATTTCCGGGGCTTTTACAGCTACAAAAACATCACAATCTGCACAGAAAATAGCTACGAAACTGCAGGTTTTGTGAAGAAATTCACTTTTTACTGATATCAAAATACTGTCATTTTTCAAAAATCGTCAAAAAATGACACAATTCACGCTGTCCTTAGTAACTTTGTACAATAAGTGTAGTTTGTACCATAATTTTACAAACTTTTGCAAAACAAAGAGACGCCCTTAATTTGATTTGCACGAATAATATTTATAAGATTTTGTAAAAATTTGTAAGTTTACGGATTTTACGACATTGCCAAGGCCTGCGTGAATTGCCTCAGTATTTTGACAGGGATAAGAAGTAAATTTCTTCACAAAACATACTTTCGCCTGATTCTAGATGTTGATTTTCGTCTTTTTGTAGCTTTAATAACCGTTCTGAGGTCAAAATACTGTATTTTTTAACACAGTATTTAGCCCACCTCTGTCTCTCTCTCTCTCGTAATAATAACTGGTTGTGCAGATAGCTACAAAACTGTGTCGAGTCGTGGTCGTCGTCAAAAAGTCTGCATGATGGTGAAAGCGGAAGAGAAAACGTAATGATGATAATCTAGCATGAAATATGAGGTAGCAAAAAGATGAAGATCTCATTAGTTTTTTTTCCTGAGGAGAGCAAGACTCATTTTTTGTGGAGGGTTTTCCACACAGATTTACCTACCAGATATGTACGCATATGTAGAGTATGTAGACACACGCAGAAAATAACTTGGTTAACTTTAATGTAAACTGTTTAAAGGGAAAAAGCCAAGATTGAGGCTTTTTATATGTTTTTTTTTGCTTTCCTTTGCATCGTTCATTCTTATTATTATTACTGCGACAAGGGCGGCATAACGGTGGTGGGACATTTGGGGAGTAATTCCGTATAAATTTTATAGGAAGGGATATCCCTAAGATATCCATTGGATTCATTAATTGACGAATAAGGGATGTCCCAGGGCTGATAATTTTGTGTACAATTTATGGATATCCAGGGTTTCAGGGAATTGCCGTCCCTAAAAATGCTACATTTTTGCAATCCTACATATTAAACTCCTCCCCTTTCCATATCTTACATGACACGAGGAAATTCACGCAAGCCTTGGCCTTGCTAACCTTATAAAATCCATAAACTTTTATAAAATTTTACTCATATTTCGAGGGAAAGTTAGCCCAAGAATTTGTGTAAACGTGCTCAGAGCAAGGGCGTCTTTTTATATTGAAAAATTTTGTAAGATTATGAAACAAAACGTACGGATTTTTTTTGCAAAGTTACCAAAGACTGCGTGAATTGTAATTGTTGAGTTACGCAACCCTTGTGGTGGTATAATCACCACTTTTACACAATTGTGCTCATAACGTGATGCTTGTGTCTTAATATTTTTGTTCTTCTTTACTTTCTCTCCAGGCTCCCGGCGGAGTGGGAGGTGCTCCCGGTATTACGATGGCGGGGAGCGGTGGTGGTGGTGGTGGAGGTGGTGCGGGAGACGACTGCAGTTCCACGACTGGGGGAATTACTGGTGGTGCCATAATCGCCGAGTCGAAAAAGAAGCTCAAGAAGAAGAAAGATAAGAGCAACAGTAAAACGCAGACGGATCCAGGTACGTAACAAAAATGAGACAATACAAAGCAGTGTTTCGGGGGTGCTAGAAATAGCAGGGGGAGAAAGTGATTTCATGCAGGGGAATATTTTGACCCGGGAGAAATGCAAGGTGGGAGAAAGTACGCCCCGCCGCGTAAATAGTTCACACGGAGCATGGCTAGGTGGCGCATATTTCTTGGACTTTTTCCCAGTTTCTTGCACCTCGCATTTCTTGCATTGCTTGCTTAGCAGTGACGAAATGTGACAAACTCGCGATAAATGATTTTTCAAGGTGTTTTGCCTGCAAGAAATGCACAGGGCGAGAAACTACATCCCGCCGCTGTAAATTAAATATATCATACCGCGCGCGGCTAAATGGCGCATATTTCCTACAGTTTCTTGCACCTCGCATTTCTTGCATTGCGTGCCCTGCAGTGCAAGAAATGTGACAAACTCGAAGAAATTATTTCTTGCAACGATTTCAACCTGGGAGAAAGGGTTATTTTTAATCCACCAGACTTTTAATTGAAATCACATTGCGAAATATATTGAAATCGCATAACTTGAATTTCCAGTGCTTTAATTCGATTTAAAAACCGTAAAATTGAAATCTGCCAGACTTTTTAAAATTGTGCATTTTATTCAAGTTACAAAATTGACCATTAGAAACTTAAGGTCATACGTCAGTATATTAGCATATTTTACAAACTAACCATTCTGTTAAGGAATACATTCTGTGTCAAACACTTCCAGAAATGCAGTATCCAATTAATACCAAGCGGTATTACGATGTGACTCTATGAAAGTGGTACTGATATGGTGTAATAGCTCGGTATTAAAGTTTACCATATTAATAGGAAATTTTTACGGGAAGATATAACTTTAATACCAAGAAATCAATCATACCTTATTATTCCAGATCTCTTACAGTAAAATAGTTGCAAAATTCCTTAGTGTCTCTGATTTTCCACTACTTTGCACTGTTATGTTGTGGTTTATTATTAGTTAGAAAAGCAAGAGATGGTGTTATTTACCTGAAAAGTCACTTTCTTAACCCTTAGCCGAGGAAAAACGATAACTATATGTTTGGCGTTGTTGCGTGGCGTTTCGTTGACCACAATAGTTATCATTCGGGAAGCCGAAAAATAATTAAAATCTCACAAGTTCTAAATCCGGAAACTTTTAACATATGAGTTGCTTAGATTCGGGAGGATTTTTTAAATGCTAAATTCAGGAGAACGGCAAAACAGGTTCAATAGAAAATTAGCTGCCGGTCAGTAAATAAGTATGGTATTTAAAATGATCAATATTAAAATTTAACAATATAACAATGCAAGTTAAGTTATGGAAATCCTTGTCTGATGGATTCCGTTATAGGGGTTGTTTTAAGGTATATAAAGTACTGGAAATTCAAGTTATGGAAGTTCAATATATTTAGTTATGTGATTTCAATTAAAAGTCTGGCCCATTAAATGAGACCCTGGGAGAAATGCAAGGTGCAAGAAACTCCCGCCGCTGTAAATACGTCATACTTTCAAGTGGCCAGATATTTCTCACACTTTCTCCCACTTTCTTGCACCTCCCATTTCTTGCCAGAAATATAATAAACCCTCAAAGAAACGAAACACTGCTACATACATCCAACTTTTGGCATCAACTTCCGCTGCCAACTTTTTTTCGCAATGAAATTCCGAATTAATTTTATTTCTCTCTCTCTCACACACTTCATTCCCGTTATTTCCACTTTGCAGACCCCGTGAAGCTGGAGTGGTCCGAGTTGGCGAGATGTTTGTTGACGCTGAAGTCCATTTCGACGAATGATGAGTGCCTTGATGACGTCCTGCAGGGACTCGTGTCACATACTCAGTCCCTTCTCAAACGGTTCCAACAAGTCCCCCCCGCCACCGATATTCCCCTCGACCCGCACAAATGCCTCTCCGGCCTGCTCCACACACTCCTTTCGGTAAGTAAGGAGAGAAAAATTCGGGGTTAATAGAATTCTGTCCCACCGAAAAAAAATAAATGGGACAAAAATTTTCTTTCACCAAGATTTTGTAAAGTCTCAAAATATGCAAAAAGAAGAAGAATCTCCCCGATAAACATGTACATAATCTGGCACACGTGGTCCAAGACACGTGGTCCAATAGACACGTGGTCCAAGAGACGTTTTGTCCATAATTTTACATTGTTGAGGCATTCCGTCTTGAAAGAGGGTATACTTCCTTAAAATTATTAATTTAGAGAAAGTATTCATTTTTTCGGAAACCATGTCTGATAAACATGCAAATAACCTGCCAGACTTATTCCAAGACACGTTTTGTCAACCATTTCATCCACCAAAGCCTGTTAGTTTAAAATTATGGTGGCATTTTGACTTGAAATAGTGAAAAGTATGCTGAAAAAATGACACGTGAACTTCAATTCTTCCAGTTACATACAATTTAATTATTTGTGCTAGTCACCTCATTTACATACATATTTTTAGACATATTTAACACAAAAAGAAAAAAAATGGGCATACTGTGACTTATGCAAATGAGGTGAAAAGCCTAAATAAAAGCACAGTATTCATTGGCACAAAGTAACATGCACTTTCACCATTAACATGTACTTTCACCACGTCATTTTTCCAGCTACGTGTCGACCAACGTGTTTATCGGGTCGTTCTTGAATAAAAATGCGACACAGTCCCTTTTTTCGTCTGTTTTGTATCTACTATTGTGTGAGAACTCCACGCGTAAACTTAACCCTTCCTTCCGTTCCCTGTACATAAATATGATAATGAGATTTTTATGAGTTCTTCCTGTAAATTGTGTCCCATTGTGGATTTTTCTATCGTCCAGGTCGCCGTGCAATGCCACCACAGCCGCGAAGAGCCCAAGAAATACTTGTCTGACGTGCTATGCGTCATAGCGCAGTCCTGCCTCCTTCTCGCCACCGGACCTCACCCCCTCCAGTACACGGCCATGGTGGAGATGAATAAAATCGTCGATGTGACCATTGTTCACCGGCTCACGAAGGACAGGTAGGTTTTCTACTATTCCACGTAAATCATTGGTTTGGGACTGGGCTGTTTTTTATCGTGGTGCTGGTGGTGGTGCTGGTGTGGGTCTTGATTATTCTCCCGAGTGGTGGAGGGAACAGAGGTGGGCAAAATACTGTGGCAAAATGAGGAAATTCAGCACGTCAGATTTCGTAATGAGTCTGTAACCAAGTAAAGTTAGGAACATGAAGAAGGTAATTTTATATAGCTTACATACGAAGTTATAAAACTTTCCGAAGATGAAAGGCATGTTTTTGGTTACGAAGACGTGAAACTCCTAAAGCTCTGTTATTCCTAAAATTGGAATTTCCAGCGGTGTTACACCCAGAAATTAATTTTTTAGCGCTGGAAAAATGCTGTATTTTTAAAAAATCGTGAAAATAATGAAGTAATTCATTTGTAACTGGGGCACGTTTTGGGAAGAAATTAACTTTTTATGGGTCAAAATACATTGTTTTCTTGATTTTTTAAGTATCTAAATGCAGTATTTTGACGCCGATTAAAGGTTAATTTCTTAACAAAACCCGTAATTTAGTGTCACTTTTGCAGATTCTCATCTTTTTTGTGGGTGTAACACCCCTTGAAATTCAGTCCTTGGGAAGAATTGTACATTTTACCGCAGTATTTTCCCTACCTCTGCAAGTTACCCGTTTTCGGGCAACTAAACCGGGAGAGAGAGAGAGAGAGAGAGAGAGAGCCAGAGTTTTTCTCCTTAAGCCTCCCAAAGCCACAAATCATCCATTCCGCACATCCTCCTCCTGATGGGATGATAACGAGTGGGTCGAAATGAAAGTGGTCTTAGGGACGAGTGGGCCTCCAAATTCTATTCTTCTTCCTCTCCTGCACAGTTATCTGCTCCCCACTTCGCTCTTCACGACCACCAGTGGCCGCGGAAGGGTGTGGGGGGACATAGGGGGGAAATGTCCCCACAGTTGTTCAATGTTCGCATCATATCCCCATCTCTACATTTTCAACTACGTCTTACAATTCTAACTAGTAACCATTTTTTAACTACTTTGTAACTACTTTGAACTACTGTCAACTACCTTATGTGAGACACTTCTTCCTTTCTTCTGCAATCAGAAGGAGACATGTAAAGCAGAAAAAAAGTAGTTCAAAAGTCGTTAAGTAGTTGGTTAACTACACTATGTGAGAAAGTAGTTGAATAATTTTTGAACTACTTCACAAAAGTAGTTGAACTACAACTATGTTTTGCAAAAAAAAATTATAGTTAACTGACAGTTAATTACAAAATGTAGTTATGTAGCACCCGTCCCTCCCCCCTCCTACAAGGTTAATGTCCCCCCCACTTCCTTCCGCGGCCACTGCTCTCCAACCAACACCCCGCTGGGTGATGTGATCATCCTCTCTCTCTCTCGTACATACTTGAAAACCTGGTGGTGGTTCTTCTTCTCGGAAATGATGATGCAAATACTCTATAATTTCAATAAGAATGCCCCCACCACACCCGATCCCGAACACTCACTCACTAATTGTGCCCTTATTGTTGTCAAACTTTACCCTAAAATTTTGTTGCGTTGCCTCAGCAGGGAAATGGAGGCGGAGAAACAGGCAGCCGCCGCCGCCGCCGCAGCTGCCGCAGCGGCCACGACCAGTGGCGGGGGACCAGGTATGACCGCATCGCCGCACCATTTGACCGTTTCCTCCACCCCATCAAAGCAACAGCAGAGGGGGTCCGTGAGTAAGGGGGGTGGGGGCAGCGGTGGTGGTGGTGGTATGGGTCCCACACCCACGACGGGGACCACCGGGACCACGAAAGGACCCTTTCAGAAGGCTAAATCTAAAGACATTCCAAGCAAAATGACCAGCAAGGTGGCCTCTTCGGGGCAGGATCTTTTAGGTGAGTAAATCCAAAAAGCGGGCATTATTCGGTGCAACTTTTCCCCTTAACATACAGTAATAATTTACATATTCACTACTAGTTCAGGAAGTACATACATGAATGTCTTAAATGATAGTCACCAAATCATATCTAAATTCAAATTTCAAGTTTCCAAATTCAATTACATAACCAATTCATACAGAAATTGGCATAGATACTTAACCAAACCCCACCATATAAAACTTTTAACCAGTAAATCAACCAAATCACATACAGTTTATTAATTTAGTTTTTAACGTATTATACAATACCACCTTAAGATGATAGACTTTTACCTCAACTCACGATTTTGACTAATCCTAGTGGACAAGTAAGTATGTAGTACTTGAAAAACCGTCGTTCGCGTCTGTGGGTGACTGGGCTGAGGGGAAAATTCGGAGAAATTCTCTCTTAATTCATCCGAGAGGCAGATTGGTCTCATTCAAAGAATCAAAAAGGGTGAGATCCAATCCACACCGGTTCGATTAAAGGTAGCTCGTCAGACGGGACACCACGTCGTCTCAATATTTGAGACACACACTTCCGACTTAAATTGGAGAAAGAGCTCCTTCGTCTCGGAGGAGTCTCACCCTCATTTTCTGAGATGATGACGATCGGATGTGTAAAAGTACAAGGAGCGAGTGAGGTTGGAATTGAAATTGAAAATCAACAACAGCGCCGGGGGGGTGGTAAAGACAAGTCGAGAGAGAGACACTCTCTACGTGGGTGTGTATGTATGTACATAGCAACTGCTTGATGATGAAGGACAGACACCAGTAATCATTCCCTCGTCGACGACTGTTTCGTTTTTCTTGCGGGTTTTTCTTGCACGGGAGAGGAAAGCCACGCGAGAAAGTGTGAGGTGCGAGAAATATGCGCCATCTAGGCAAAAGCAGTATGAAGTATTTATACCAGAGCGAAGGAGTTTTTTTAAAAGCTGTACATTTCATGCAGGTCAAAATCTCTACCTGCAAGAAACCACGTGGTTTCCGTTATTTCTTATAAGTGGTTACTTGCACCGGAAACACGTGCGGGAAGACCCGTTTTTTTAATAATTCCAAATATTTTAAGTACATTTTTTAGCCAAAAAATACATTTCCTTATCAATTAACACATGTTAAACGGAGTGTTTCGTTTCTTGCTGGTTTGCCACATTTCTTGCAGTGCGAAACAAGCCACGCAAGAAATGCGAGGTGCAAGAAACTGGGAGAAAGTGCAAGAAATAAGCATTATCTAGCCACCCGCCGTATGGACTATTTACTTCGGCACGGCGTACTTTCTCCCACCTTGCATTTCTCCCAGGTCAAAATATTCACCTGCAAGAAACCACTTATTTCTTGCAAGTGACGCACATAGACCACCACGACCCGTATGATTTAAGGGTCTCCTCCCCAGAGTGGAAAAGTCTCTCCTTTTTTTCTTCTTCTCAGAGGGCATGTTTTTTTTACAGAAGAAGAAAAAGAGAAAGCAGCAGCAGCAGCAATTTTCCGTCCTTTTCTTTCCTTTTTATGACTGTTGGTAGGAAGGAATGGGGAAAACATGGTCCGCATTTGGGGAGAAAATGATGATGGGAAACAACATTTTGTTGTCTCCTTTGTTACCCTTTTTCCTGCCATGTGCATCCAGTCGTCCTTTCGACGCGACTACAATGTCCCCATTGTCAAGTCCAGTCGTCCCAAGTACAAATGCCCATTCCTCCAGAGCGGGATTGTATGTATCTCCAGAGGGCGGATATGTATCTATTATTAAGTTTTTTTGTTTCATTTGACGGTCAAAGTCTCTGGGAAAGTGTTACAAAATTTTGGACAGAGGATAAAAATTTCAATATATTTGTACATAATTTTTTGATAAGTATTTCAAATTTTTTTTTTCGGAAAGAAATTGGACCTGAAAAAAAAATCCTGTATTCAAAAGTATAAATTTTATGGAGATTCATACCTTTTTTTGTAAATATTTTGTCGTCATTTTTCCTAAGTTAGATACATATTTTTCGTACATGCATAACCTCCCTGTGATCATTATTAGCGTTTAATTTGACCAAAATTCTGCTCCAATTCGAACTCAGAACAATGTTTCTTATCACGAATGGAGGAATCTTAAGCCAAGTGGGTATATATTTCGTCGTCTTTTTGTTCCAACATATTACATCCACATTTCGTAAGTAAATACATATCCGTTCCCTGTTCATTATTATTATTTAATTTAACTCGGCCAAAATTCTGCTCCGCTTTTCGAACTAATACGTAGAACAATTTGTTACATCATGAACATTGAGGAATTTTCACTCAAGTGGGTATATATTTTAGCGTCTTTTTTGTAAATACATATCCGTCCCCTGATCATTATTAGTATTTAATTTAACTTGACCAAAATTCTGCTCCAATTCTCATAGAACAATGTGTCATAGAGCGGAATTTAGAGTCAGGTGGGGATATAGGCGAGATAATGGGAGTCAGCACTTACTCGTTCACATTGTTACGACAGCTTTTTCACTCACGCTTCCTCCATTTCTGTACTACGGTTTTGTACTCTGTATACGCAGTGGCCGCGAAAGTCGGTTGGGTGGGGGGCATGGGGGCCCATTACCGAATTTGAGCCTTATTAACAAGTGGCAAGACACGAAATTTTCCTGATTTTCTAGCCAGACAATGCCCCCTCGTCCCCCTCCTTCCGCCGCCACTGGCAGGAGGAGGACGAGAAGCAGCGGCAGCATGAAAAATTACGGTTTTGTACTCAGTGGCCGCGGAAGTTGGAGACAGGGGGACAATTAACATTGCGAAATTTGAGGCTTATTAACACGTGGCAAGCCATAACATTTTCCTAAATACAATGCCCCCCGTGTCCTCCTCACTTCCGCAGCCACTGGCAGGAGGAGGACGAGAATCAGCAGTATGAAAAATTACGGTTTTGTACTCAGTATACTCAGTGGCCGCGGAAGTTGGTTGGAGGACATGGCGGAATTTGAGCCTTATCAACACCTGGCAAGACACGACATTTTCCTAAATACAATGTCCCCCTTGTCCCCCCTCACTTCCGCCGCCACTGGCATGAACAGCCGCATGAAAAATTCATCTCGGAGATCTCTCTTTGTCACGAAATCCCCACTGCGCTCTGATACGATCCTCTCCCTTCGTCCGTATGTGTGCCATCATCTACACAAAACCCGGGTCGAATTTAGCCCGGGCTAAATTTTCCATTAAATTATAAAAGACTTGAAAACAGTTAAGTGAAAGACGGGCTGACTTTTGGATGGACGGGTGGCTGGCTGGCTGGCTGAAGCTTGACTTTCTCCGGAGCAGGATTAACCTGAGTTTGTCCTATTATTATCCCCACCTCTTTTTACTGCCAATAACTTTTTCTTCTTCTTGGCCGTGGTGGTGTTTGGACTTTTAAGACGGTAACAAAACCAGCGTTTATGCATGCTGCGTGTTCCCACTAATTTTGGAGGGACAGGGTCGACAGATAAAGTTTAGGAGGAAGAAGTAAATATGTTGTTTAAGTGAACCCGAGGAACAGAGAGAGAGGAGAAAGTTGTCAGGGTGAAAGTGGGATATGGGTAACGCGTCGAAAGGATGATTCGTCGAATTTAAATACGAACGGGAGAAAGCTATCAGGGTGAAAGTGGGGTATGGGCAACTCGTCGAATTTAAGCACAGAGGGAAGAAAGATGCCATGGTGAAAGTGGGGTATGGGTAATTCGTCGAAAGGGCAACTCGTCGTAAAGGACAAATCGCCGAAAAAGCAATTTGTTGAATTTAAGAATTATTGAACTCGTCGAAAAATTAATTCCCTTTCGACGAGTGACCCTAGACCAATTTCTCACACTGGAAATGAAGAAATCCAAGGTTCGAGAAAGCGCAAGAAATACGCGTCATCTAGCCGCGCGCCGTATGAACTATTTACAGCAACGGGGCGTACTTTCTCCCAGGTCAAAATATTTACAAACACTTTCTCCCTCTTATTTCTTGCAAGTGGTTATTTGCATCCGAAACATCGGTTTAGCAGATAAATACCTGGACAACTTGTCAAACCCTCGACAAAGTCTTGCATATTATGTTCATCGGGCATGGATCGTTTCCGAATTAAAAACAAGGGAATATATATATTTCCTTAAAATTATGAAGGCTCTAAAAGTGGACAAACTTTCTATCATACCAATTTACTCGGGCCACATTCCACCCCTGCATTCTCCCCCGCTTAATACAGTTCAAAGACCACACTTTCCAACCAACCACAACTAAATATCATCGAGAAGGAGGAGGAGGTTGTTGATGATTTCGACCTGTGTGACATCAGTGGCCGCGGGAGGTGTGGGAATATCGGGGACATTGGAGGACCGGGTTTATATAAGATGGGGGAGATGATGCCGACATCGAATAACCGTGGGGACATTGTCTCTCTGTCTTCTCAAGCTTCCGCGGCCACTGCTTTCACCCAGTTTTCGGTACGCGCCAGTGACCGCGGAAGTCGTGGGGACATTAACATTGCAGGATAGGGAAGGGAGGAGTCTATACTTATAAGATTGGGAGATGACGGGGACATGTCTATAACAACCGTTGAGGACATTGTCCCTCTGTCCCCTCAAACTTCCGCGGCCACTGTGAATCCTCCCTTTACATATGCATCCTTAGTCCCCGCGGAAGCCTTGGGGACATTAACATTGTTGGATATGGCAGAAAGGCCGGGTTTATATAAGGTGGGCACTAATAGATGCCGACATGGAACAACCGTTTAGGACATTGTCCACCCTTCCTTCCGCGGCCACTGGTCTGAAATACCTCCCTTGTCCCGCGATGCATCGATTGTCAGCCTGTCGACACTCGTCCTCGGGAGCACTTTAGGACTCAAAGTTTAGTGAATTATTGACTGGATGAGGAGGAGGACGCTGGCTGGCTGGGGTATCACTCTCACCACTTTTTGACTTTGTACTCGGATTTCCACTTACTTTCACTTATGCCTCAGTTATCTCCGCCAACTTG